TTATGCAATGGTCTATTTCAATGCACTTTCAAGTTATGTAATGGACTTTTAGTGCGCATTCAGTTATGCAATAGTCTACGTCAAGACTAGTCTATTTCAGTGCACTTTCACACTTTCAAGTTATGCATGGTCTATTTTAATGCACTTTTTTGTACTTTCAGTTATACAATAGTCTACTTCAATGTACTTTAGTTATGTAATGGTCTATTTTAAAGCACTTTCAGTTATGTAATGGGCTATTTTACTGTACCTTCAGTGATGCAATGGTCTACTTCAATGCACCCTCAGTTATGTAATGGACTATTCTAGTTTCAGTCATGCAATGGTCTATAACTTTCAGTTATACAATGGTCTACTTCAGTTATGTAATGGTCTACTTCAATGCACTTTCAGTTATGCAATGGCTTATTTCAGTGCACTTCCAGATTAGTGTACGGTCAGTTATGTAATTGTCTACTTCAATGCACTTTCAGTTATGCAATGATCTATTTCAATGCACTTTCAGTTATGTAATGAACTATTTTAGTGCGCTTTCAGTTATGCAATAGTTTACTTCAATTCACTTTCAGTTATGCATGGTCTTTTTCAATGCACATTCAGTTATGTAATGGACTATTTTAGTGTACTTTAAGTTATGCAATATTCTACTTCAATGCACTTTAAGCTATGCAATGGTCTATTTCAATGCACTTTCAGTTATAAAATGGCCTATTTCAATGCACATTCAGTTATGTAACGGACTATTTTAGTATACTTTCAGTTATGTAATGGTCTACTTCAATGCCCTTTCAGTTATAAAATGGCCTATTTCAATGCACATTCAGTTATGTAATGGACTATTTTAGTGTACTTTCAGTTATGCAATACTCTACTTCAATGCACTTTCAGTTATGCAATGGTCTATTTCAAAGCACTTTCAAGTTATGTAATGGACTATTTTAGCATACTTTCAGTTATGCAATAGTCTACTTTAATGCACTTTCAGTTATGCAATGGTCTATTTAAATGCACCTTCAGTTATGCAATGGACTATTTAAATGCACTTTCAGTTATGTGATGGACTATTTTAGTATACTTTCAGTTATGCAATACTCTACTTTAATGCACTTTCAGTTATGCAATGGTCTATTTCAAAGCACTTTCAGTTATGCAATGGACTATTTAAATGCACTTACAGTTATGTAATGGACTATTTAAATGCACTTTCAGTTATGTGATGGACTATTTTAGTATACTTTCAGTTATGCAATACTCTACTTTAATGCACTTTCAGTTATGCAATGGTCTATTTCAAAGCACTTTCAGTTATGCAATGGACTATTTCAATGCACATTCAGTTATGTAATGGACTATTTAAGTGTATTTTCAGTTATGCAATGGTCTACTTCAATGCACTTTCAGTTATGCAATGGTCTATTTCAATGCAATTTCAGTTATGAAATGGCCTATTTCAATGCACTTTCAAGTTATGTAATGGACTATTTTAGTCGCTTTCAGTTATGCAATAGTCTACTTCAATGTACATTCAGTTATACAATGGTCTATTTCAATGTACTTTCAGTTGTATAATGGTATATTTCAATGCACCTTCAGTTATGGAATGAACTGTTCCAATACAATTTCAGGTGTGGAATACAATATACCCAGATGAGGAACTGGACGGAAAAACTGGAATCAGTGTCCTTGTCACATTGCTTCATCCAGCTACCAATGGTACAGTTAGACTTCAGAGCATGGACCCATTTGATCATCCATTGATTGAGCCAAACTACCTCAAAAATTCAGTTGATGTGAAACATTTGACGGCAGGTTAATAATAAATACATGTTCAATCATCATATTATTAATCTAAAAAATTAAAAATAGGTTAACACATTTTCATACAATATGTAGCTAGCCTAGCTGAATTGAAACCTAGCTAAATAGATAATCATTGCTATACTTCTGAAATTATATCATGTTTAATATATAGGAATAAAGGTGTGGACAGAAAAACTTGCAAAAACAAATGTATTCAAAAGGGGAGGATTTGAACTGAAAAGAAATCACCACCCTTTATGTAAAGCTCACCGATTCGGCACCGATGCTTACTGGGATTGTTTCATAAGAGCAAACTTGTGGACTACATTCCATCCATCATCAACATGCAGAATGGGACCAGCAACTGATAAGAACTCAGTCGTAGACCCACAGTTAAGGTACATTAATCCTGATTTATAATTCTGTCCCTACTCCAATACAGAGATATATCAAACAGATATTTAGGCAGATATATCAATTTTTACATGTCTAGTTATACGAGTAATGCCTGTTTTGCAGAGTTAAAGGGATTGAGAATCTGAGAGTGGCAGATGCATCCATTATGCCTCATGTCGTATCAGGCAACACCAATGCGCCATCTATTATGATAGGAGAGAAGGCTGCAGATTTGATTATACAATCTTAAGATTCCTTTTCCTATTCATAACATGAAAGCGTTTACAAATTTAATATATGAGCGACAAACATCGAAGCATATTTGACTGCAAACTCTGGTGCCTTCGAGCAGAAATGCACCATCATTTATGACAGGAGATATTAGGCTACTGAGTTGATCAGACCCTACATTATTAAAATTTTTGAAAGCTTTCACATAATCCATATACATGGACGCATAATTAACTCCAAGCACCATGCTTCCAGCAAAAATCAATGCACTAGATATTTTTTATAGGATTAAGGCTGCAGATTTGATTCAACAATCGTAACTTTAGACTTATTTTTCATTCATTTTTAAAAGTATTTACAACTCAGATATATCTGAATTTATTGTATGATGTAATTAATAGACCAAAAGTGTCCCTTGTGGATCACACTAGTGTACATTCATGTAAGTTGAAAAATGAGTTAAAGTGAGTATTTTATGAATCATTTTATTGGTATTATATGAATGAACATTTAAGAACCCATTTTAAAGCTTAAGTACAGTAGTATGACTAAAATTGATAACGATGCAATGAAATGAATGACACGGCTTTAGCTTTAAAAATTGATTGATGAGTCTCTCGTAAGTCGGCAACGACTGGATGTACTTTACGTGTGAGACAGAAATAAATGAATATACATACAAACATCACATCATTTACTAATATGGACACATAATTGTTTTCGAACTTATCCGATAGAATGAATATCATCGTATTGGTTTTTGAGATGTACGAGTAAAACGGTTCATTTAAAATGCATAACAAAATGTTAATGTTAACGGCGAGGAAATATCAATACTTCTATATGCCGACGACGTTGCGTTAATATCTAGCACAGAAGATGGAATTCAACGTATGCTTGATGAACTAAACATTTGGTGCAGCAAATGGCGTCTTTCCGTAAATATTAAGAAAACGAACATTGTGCACTATCGACCGAGGGGTATTCCAAGAACTAATACCGTTTTTCTGTATATGGCCCACCAGATTACTGTTGTGGACCGGTATAAGTATCAGGGAACAACAAACGGCATTCAAAATATAATATCATGAAAAAACACGCAGCGTGGGCAATGAGGGAATGAGAAACATCATTCAAATTTTTATGGTTATGTGTCGGTCATGGAAACAAAAAGGAAGCATACCATGTGGAATAGAAATGTAAATGTTACATGCATCGCTATTCCAACAAAGTTATAACATGATTATGCAACTAACTTTTGATTGTACGTTTATATTCCACATAATCTTAAAGTCATTTTGTATCCTCCAACATATGCTTAATAAAGTCTTACTAAAACAATTCAAATAATTCAAAAATTAAATAATAATGATCTAAACACTTTTATTAAAGTACTTTCATTTCTCGAAATAATAATCTAAAAATATTTTTTCCCAAAGATGATATTTTAATGTTTGGAGGATACAAAATATTGGACAGCCTCATCTAGACAACTTGACTTCACGACAGAAACTACACTCAATCATATATCTCCATTGTCTGCAATGGAAGACATGTCATCAAAATGTACCTTAAGGCATAGCTTTCACCAAAATAATGCATCAATAGTGTATATTAACATGAACGATGTGTTGGAGGATACAAATATTTGACAAATCATATACATACATGGCGTTCATAAAGTTCTTGCAAAAGTACTCTATTTTTTGTTTCTCAGTCAATCTGGCTGAAATTTTCACTCAGTATATCTACACTATTCATACATTTGAATCTTGAATTATAATGAACAGGTAAAATATGGGTAAGAGGTAACTTTAACATACTTTAAAGTATTCTTGAAAATACAAAACTATCCAATCTGCAGCCGCCGCAGACATTTTTCTACCGTTTCTCTTTGCCGTAAAATTAATGTAAAACCCCTATTGCACCAAACTAGGCTAGTTTTCAACCATTCTTTCCAGATCTAAAGAAAAGACGTAAAATGGGTTAAATCTGGCTGTGGTCGAGAAAAAGCTATAGGCCTAAAATAATTAGCTACTTCGTTCATAAACACTCTTTAAATAAGTCCTCAGTCCCTGGGCCTCAGTCAATCACCTTCCCGTCCCAATGCACCCATGAAGTTCATAAATATACCGTAGAAAGTTGCAGCTACGTTCTGTTTCTGTTCCGGCGCCCATAGTTTTGAAGAACGCGCACAGCGACAGTTCTACCATGCTACTGTGGTGTCATAGCTGTTTTACCGAATCATTAATGGGTCTATGTTTACTTTCTTACACAATTTAACAGAAAATATTGCATATTAATCAAGTGAAATATAAAAACTGAGAAAAGGAATAATGTTCTAGCTTCAAACCATATTTAGAGCCAGTCATTTAAAAAGTTATTGATTTACCCACCAGTGTCCTATAAACGGAAATGGGGCCAACAACCCAACACGTAGCTATTGGCCGACCTTACATTGGGTATATAGAGATCTACCGTGACAATTATTAAAAATACATGTCGAGTATAAGTATCTGTGGGTCATTGTGAGAGGCCAACGACCTAGACAGTAGACACTGCACAGCTTTACAATGTTCCAGAGTTTGTCATATATCATAGTTCTTGTCGCAGTTTATCTCTATTTTACAAAGGAAAAGGCTGTAGACATTAATTCAAAAATACGAGATGTACTAGATGACGAATATGATTATATTGTAGGTAAGGAAAAATATAAAGTATGCAATAATGGAGAATCAGTATAAATGATTGTGATGTGATCAGGTTTTGATCAGGGTGTGATGTTTAAAACATCCGTGTTAAAATTGATAATATAGTTAACCATTCAAATATTTCTTTTCATGACTTGACTTGACATATTTTGAAAAATAGGATTTTGAAAAAATTATTCATTTTACAATTCTTAAAGATCTGAATTTCCCGCCATTTTAGAAACAATTAGTTTTAAATTTGGGGGTAAATTGCAGGGGGTGATACAGGGGCTAGGTCAGAGAACCCAAGCTCAAAATAAGCCCAAGACCTTAAATCCAGTGTGAAACTGGACTTTATTTTCTAAAATGTGCTCAGCTGCTGACCTAGGTCAAATACAACACTTAGCACTGTAAAACACATCATTTCTTGACTCCATAGAACAGAATAGATCAGGCAAAAGATATTCATCAGAAATTGTCATTTTTTCCGGCACAAATATTTTCCAAATATGCTAAACCTTCAAAATAAACTAATTGTTGGCCTATCTAGGTTGAAAACAAGTTCTTATAATATTTCAAATATTTTGGGCCTATGTACTATGATTCAATGAAATCCAAAATTTCAAACCATTTAATTCTGCGCTTTGGAATTAATTTTCTGCTTATTTTCAACAAATTTTCAATGATAATTCCTTAATGTCTTTCTTAATGTATTTCACATTTGAAACTACTCCTCTATAGTAGAGGTAAGAAAAAATTCAAAAATGATTTTTTATAAAAATTCAAAAGACCAAATACATCTAGATATCATTAAAAAGGTACGCTTTAGAGTATGATAAATACTCTGGCGCCGTTTTCAATCGCTTTTACCCCCAGCGTTTATGGATTTTCAATAACGGTGAAAGGTCTGAAGGTGTAAATGATTTACTGTACCCATTTCATGTAGTAAACGGACAAATCTTTCGATCCCAACCAGTGTTGAAATGGTAGCGTTTGTCAGTCTCAACGAGACAACATTGAATAAATTGCCCTTGGGTTATCATAGAACGCTAAAGGTTAGTGTATAATACACTTTATCATGTATGGAATACAAAAGTCCGAAGTCACAATTACAATATCAAAGTCATATACAGTACCAGCCGGTATGTGACTATATAAGGGTGTCTCAAAAATGTACCAAAAAGTATATCAACAGAATAGACAAACCAATCAATATTCTCAGACAATTTTTGCATGGTCTTGTAGATAAAAGTTTTTTCCCCTATACACAGTTTTTAATTCAGTTTTGCCTTTTTGATACTTTAACCCGTTACCTTTTAATACACCACATTTTCAATTTAACCTCATATTTCGATGACAGTCTGCATCCTTACTACTACATTGTTCATCACATTTGATATTTCTGGTGGAATGTTTTGATTTCTATTCGGATGCTGGTCTTAGGTTGTTCTAGGTCTCTAAGCTTGGGTTTAGCATAAAATTGGTCCATCAAATAGCCTCAGAGAAAAAAGTATGGGCCTTCAAATATGGTACATAGGAAGGCCCTCACAATGTCTTATAGCCCTTTAGTCTTATAGAAAATGAATCCCTGTATGGTTACAGTTGGAGCAGGATCAGCAGGTGCTGTTGTAGCAAGTAGACTCTCAGAAGACCCAAACACCAAAGTTTTGCTCCTAGAAGCTGGAGAAGCATCAAACCCTCTCACAAAACCGCCAATGGGGACCAAGTTTGCTCAACGGACAAGCATGGACTGGGAGTACAAAACAGTTCCTCAGAAACATTGTTGCAAAGGCTTGAAAAACTCGGTAAATATTATAAAATTCATATTTTTGAAAATTCCGGTTATAATAAATTCTTTGTGATTTAAATAGACTTGAAATAATTTCATTAAACCATTCAAAATTTAGAGAAGGTGATTTCCTATTCCAAATCCCATTTTACTCAAAAACGTTAGATAAATTATCTTTAAAGTCTATTGATTAGTTTTGGGCAAAGTTCTTGATGCCTCTTATGTTATCTTACCTGAGTGTAAGCCACTTGGTGGTGAAACTGATTACCCACTGGTATCTAGGTAAGTTATTTAGATTTCAGTAAGAATTCACAACATTTGAAAATTAACATGGAGTCATTTTATATGCTATGTTCGCAATTTTCTTGAGTGACCAGTAGTTATATCCAAAATTGACCACATTGCGATTGCCATATTCCCCGGGAGGGTTCAACGTGTACTTGTGCAAAACTTGAGCTGAAGACAAAATTAATTAAGAAAAATTAACTATAATCAAAAGTCCAATTACTCTTTGGCATACATACTCTTCTAGTAAAGCAATAAATGTGGGTGATCTTGCACAGGTAGCTAAAATCTCAAATTATCACCATAATTTTATAATAATTGCTTTCTTTTACTAATGAAAAATACACATTTTACTTGTTTTGAAGCAAAGAAGTTGGGCAACTGGCAAATTACTTGGAGGTTGCAGTGCACATAACTACATGCAATACACGCGTGGTAGTAAATATGACTATGACATGTGGGCAGAGCTTGGGAACACAGGGTGGAGCTACAAAGATGTACTTCCATATTTCAAGAAATCTGAAGCACAGCTTGATCCAAAATTAAGCAAATCAAGTAAGTGAAACGTATCTAAAAATGTAAACGAGCATTGTCGCAATGCCTACCACATTTTCCTGTTTCTTATTCTGGTATGACTTATGGAAGTAAATTTCGAAAGAAGCGTTCACTCAAGTCCTAGCCTCTATTAACAAAATGTGATTATATCAATTATATGACCCAGATAGAAGTTAGAGTTGGATACAGCTCTGCAAGTATTGGCTTTTTATAAATATCAAATATGTGTCTATGATTTATAGAATACCATGGTACCTCAGGGCCTCTACAAGTATCAACTGTGGATGAAGTTGAATGTATAAAGTATGTTTATGATGCAGCGGTTGAAGCAGGATTCAAGACTACAGAGGATTACAATTAGTCTGGCAGAAACTTCAAAGCTAATTGTTTTCTTCGGATTACAATGTTTTTTTAACTTATCAGCATCAATATAGGGTTGGGACCTCAAAACCATTAGATGCCGGAGCGGCACCCTTGGGCAACTCTCTACAGAGCATTTCTTATACCCCCCTGATAAAATATACAGGGGGTACTATAAGACACCCTCATATCTCAGACACTAATAAATATATTAACTTGAAATTTTCAGGAATTGGTTTTAGTATGATGCTTGACACATGTGACAAAAATCAAGAAAAAATCTTAATCCGTTGCTATAGCAACAGAAATAGACAATATTTGTTACCGTAGAAATGCATTATTCTGCTGATTTTCATAATTTTCTTCATATTCTTGATTCTTAAAGCATCTGAAGTATATATGTATCTGTTATATACATGATTAGAAGTAAAGATGAAATAATTCATCATATGGTTTATGTAATATATCTAACATTTCAGTTGCTATGGTAACATCACTTAATAATCAGGTTTTTACATTTCACTTTCTTTAAAAAGGTGGTCCAAAATAACACTTCTTGAAAAGGTTATGCTCCCTAGGTAAAAAAGTGCTGCTTAAGAGATAAATAGTCACATGAATTTGAAAAAAAATTTCAAGGTTTAAATAAAAAATGCCCCCAGTGGCCCCAAGGAGCTATACCATGGACCCCAGTGGCCCCAGAAGCTATACAGGGGCCCCTAGTGGCCCCAAGATGCTATAAGATGGCCCCAAGAAGCTATACAGGGACCATTAGTAGCCTCCAGAAGCTATACAGGGGCTACAAATGGCCCCTAGAAGCTATATGGTGACTTCCAGAAGCTATACAGGGGCCCCCAGAATCTATACAGTGGCCCTTAGTGCCCCCTTAAAGCTATACGGAGGCCCCGGAAAGCTATATGGTGGGCCCCAGAAGCATGTCCAGCGGCCCCTAGTAGCCCTCAGAAGCTATATGGTGGTCCCCAGTGGCTCCAAGAAGCCTCACAGTGGCCCCCAAAAGCTATACAGGGGCCCCTAGTAGCCCCGAGAAGCTATATGGTAGGCCCCAGAAACTATATGATGGCACCCAGAAGCTATACGGTGGCCCCAAGTAGCCGCCAGAAGCTATAGGATGGCATCCAGTGGCCCCCAGAAGCTATATGGTAGCCTCAGAAGCTGTACGGTGGCCCCCAATGGCCTCAAGAAACTATACAGGGGCCCCCAGAAGCTATACGGTGGTTCCCCAAAACTATATGGTGGCCCCCCAGTGTCCCCAAGAAGCTAAACAGGAGCCCCCAGAAGCTATACAGGGACCCCTAGTAGCCCCCAGAAGCTATATGGTAGCCCCGGGAAGCTATACAGGTGCTCCAAATGGCCCCTAGAAGCTATATGGTGACTTCCAGAAGCTATACAGGGGCCCCCAGTAGCCCCCAGAATCTATACAGTGGCCCCTAGTGCCCCCTTAAAGCTATATGGTGGCCCCGGAAAGCTATATGGTGGCCCCAAGAAGCATATCCAGAGGCCCCTAGTAGCCCCCAGAAGCTATGTGGTGGTCCCCAGTGGCTCCAAGAAGCTTTAAAGTGGCCCCCAAAAGCTATATAGGGGCCCCTAGTGGCCCCAAAAAGCTATATGGTAGGCCCCAGAAGCTATATGATGGCACCCAGAAGCTATACGGTGGCTCCCAGTGGCTCCAAGAAGCTTTAAAGTGGCCCCCAAAAGCTATATAGGGGCCCCTAGTGGCCCCAAGAAGCTATATGGTAGGCCCCAGAAGCTATATGATGGCACCCAGAAGCTATACGGTGGCCCCCAGGAGCCACCAGAAGCTATAGGATGGCATCCAGTGGCCCCCAGAAACTATATGGTAGCCCCCAGAAGCTGTACGGTGGCCCCTAATGGCCCCAAGAAACTATACAGGGGCCCCCAGAAGCCATATGGTGGCTCCCAAAAACTATATGGTGGCCCCCTAGTGTCCCCAAGAAGCTAAACTGGAGCCCCCAGAAGCTATACAGGCGCCCCTAGTGGCCCCCAGAAGCCATACGAGGGCCCTTAGTAGCCCCCAGAAGTAAGCCCAAATTTTCACTGACAAAAAATTCACGATGTTGTCAATCTGAAATGTTTCATGGCCATTAAATTTCACTGTTAAAGAAATATCCAATTGAATTCAATGTTAAATCAAATATTTACAGTGCCTTTGAAAGCTATACGATGGTCCCCAGTGGCCCCCAGAAGCTATACAGGGCCCCCAGTAGTCTGATTGCTCAGATGAGGAAAGCCAATGCTTATAAAATTTAGACATTATGCCAAAATCTAGACTATGCCAACCTCTCTATTGTATAATTCAATAGATTTTATTATGATGCATGTTCTAAATGCCAAAGCCGTCTAGACCGACTATATGCCAACCTCACTACTGTATGAATGCATTAGATTTCATTTGATATACATGTATATACTAAATATAAAATATGCAGTGTCCTATATACTAGTGTAATACTATATACTAGTTTAAGAATCAACTATTTGAAGAAATGTTGAAAATCAGCAAAATGATGCATCTCTACGGTAACAAATAGTGTTCTGTTACTGTTGCTATAGCAACGGATTAAGATTTTTTCTTGATTTTTGTCATACATGTCAAGCATCATACTAAAACTAATTCCTGAAAATCTCAAGTTAATATATTTATCAGTATCTGAGATATGAGGGTGTCTTATAGTACCCCCTGTATATTTTATCAGGGGGGTATAAGAAATGCTCTGTAGAGAGTTGCCCAAGGGTGCCGCACCGGCATCTGGTGGTTTTGAGGTCCCAATCCTATATTCATGTTGATAAGTTAAAAAAACATTGTAATCCGAAGAAAACGATTGAATGTCAAAATACCCTATATTTCTGCCAGACTAAATGGCAAAGATCAAATGGGTATTTTTCAGTTTTAACTTTAAGATACATGAAAAGTAGTCCTGAAAGTGAAAAGCCTTTGGGGATACTATTGCAATTTGCATATCTACACTATCACCGAGCAATATTGGGGATCAGATATACCACTTGACTTACTTGTTCATAGTAATATTCACAGGGTGGGCTAAATTACAATATGGGCTTCAAAAATAAGTTAACTGATAATTACTATAAGTACGCTAATGGTGCACACTCCTGTTTCACAGGAAACAATGAAATGTGACGTTATGAAGAATATTCTCGCAATTTGACGAACATTCGTCGTCATTCTTTCGAAATTCATTGAAGCATGTACATAAAATTATGAAAATGACATTACATTTTTATTACCTACATTCAATCTAAGAAATGTATCGATGAAAACGTATTTCGAAACAAACCAAGCAATTTCAATCAAAACATCGATTTAAAATTGAATAAACATGGAAACCAAGAAAAATTCTAAACTTTGAAATTGAAAGCTTTGTACTAATGTCCCTTTTCTTGATGGATTTATATGCAAATCCTACAGGATATAATCATTATTAATATCAATAGATAAACATTACATCAAAATGACATGTGCATCTTCATTTCCGAAATGACAATTCATCATGATTGAAAGTTATAATTTGTAGAGAATGTGTTCTGATAACTTTTAATGCGGGACTCGTCAATCGCTTATTACGTTTTCTTGCGAATTATAACCTGAAGAAGTATGGTTTACCCTATCATTTGGTACCAATACAGTAAAGTATGGAACATGCGCAGACAAGTAAAAAAGCTTTCCAATTATTTTAATAAAATCTGTCCTCTCTAATTTCGATGAAACGGGACACAAAGTCCCCATTTTGAGTGTAGAATAAAGTCAAAACGGCACATTTAGTTCAGACTCCGGTATTATTCATTTTAAAAGGTGAAAAACTAAAATAGTGTCTCTACTTTTTAATACATTATAATTACCTGATGCGCATCTGAGAAAAATATTTTTTAGAACTCAAAATATAAAAATACTCATACTCTCATAGATAAAAAATGCCCAATTGATTTTAACGGGGATTTTTGTTATGAAGGCTTCACATGGAAATTTTTCAATATTTGATAGAATTTACAAGGTTTATATGACCATCAGGTCATCAAATATACTTTTTTTGTAGAACAAACATCTTCTTAATTGTTGACCATTTATAGTTAAACAGTTGTGCACCATTCCAAATACAATTGCATTTACAACCATTAAAACGTTAAATCGTTGGCGGCATATACAGTGCGTATCAAAAAAAACGCAACAGATTTTTATCTCGGAAAAGCACAAAACCAGTGATAACAGCATTGATTTCATTCAATGCACCATAAAGCCATGTGTCTCCTCTTTACAATGATATATCATTCATTGATATTTGGTCATGGTTCGGCGAATAATCATTCCATTTGACAAGTCGGCCAAAATTAGCTTTTGACCAAGTTATAAACTTCGCAAAACTCAGTGTATGGAGCCCGATGCAAAATTGGAAGAAAACATAAAACCAATGCTGACTGCATCCTTTTCATTCAATGTACCAAAAAGCCAAATTACTCTTCTTTTCAATAGAATATCATTCATTCACAGAGAGTCATCTCTGGCCGAATAATCATTAATTTTGCAAAGTGGGGCAAAATTCAGCTCGGACCCAAGTTTTAAACATTGCGAAAGTCAGTACAAGGGGCATAGGGGCTATTGGAAGAAGCTGTGACAGGTGTGGGATAGACAGTAAAGTGTTCATACTCATACTCTTGCAAGAATACATCCTATACCCCTCCAAATTGCCACCACTTCCTTGCATATAAAGATGCGCTCATCTGTCCACGTCATGCATGGTTCTGAGTCATCTGTGGGTTAAAGCAGAGAAAAGCAGCCCATGGGCAATTCTTTCTTGAGGTTTTGCAATATCTGGTGGAGGAATTGTGAGCACAAATGCTCCCGAGATAGCTCCAAAAGAAAAAGTCACAACAATTCAAGTCAAGGGAACTTCCATTGGCACTTAGCCCTTGCACTGATTTTTGCAATATCTAAAACTTGGCCCAGAGTTGATTTTGATCCACTGTGCAAATGGAAGGATTTCTCACCCAAACATTACCACATGTGAATGAACGACATATCATTGCAAAGAGGAGAGACGTGGCTTTATGGTACATCAAATGAAATTCATGTAGTCATCACTAGTTTTGGAATTTTACAAGATAACTACTTGTTGCGTTTTTTTGATACGCCCTGTACATCGTACTATGTATTATGGAATGCTGTATATCAACTCGGTGTTATTTTGTATCTTCCCTAGGCTGGAACGCAGCCCAGGTAACTGTAGATGCCAATGGAGAGAGGTCTAGTACTGCAACTGCCTTCTTAGAGCCAAATATGGACAGAAAAAATCTACACGTAGCAACACAAGCTCACGTCACAAAAGTCATATTTGAGCTAGTTGAAATAAAATTAAAGGTTCGCGTTCAGGGGTATTACTCTAGAGTTCAAATATGACCTACGCTTATAATGTAGACCTATATTGAGACATACGTCTCTAATTGGTCAAAATCGACAAACAAAAATGGCGGCCTAAAATTTTCGAATAATATTATTCGAAGCGTATATTACGTTAATTGATTTTCGAGCAGTGCTCGAATTTTTTCTAGGTATCCCAACCACATAATGGATGGAAAATGTTGGTTACATTCACATGTACATGGGGGGAATGACCTAGAAAAAATCGTACTCTGAAAGTTAAAAGTCTTGCCAAGAGCATGAACATAAAATTTAACATGAGATACTTCATCATATTCCATAGATACATTTTTTTACATCAACATCACAATTTTTGCTATAAACAACTAACATGTACACCAGTATATTTTGTCACTGTACGTTGTCGATAGTTAGACGTGTTAAATGTTTAATCAAATCGACATTGTTTTTCTATTGCAACTGTATTTGAAACAGGTCCTCCTGGAAGGCAAGAAAGCAGTTGGTGTAGCTTATGTAAGAGGATTGGTCAAGAAAAATGTGAAAGCAAGAAAGGAAGTTATAATATCAGGAGGTGCTGTTGGATCAGCTCACATTCTCCTACTGTCTGGAATAGGACCTAAGAAACACCTTAAAGAGATAGGAGTGAGTTTTGTAGAATCATATACGTACAAACTCATCCAGAGCTCTTTCGTGTACACTTCCCTCAAAAAGTTTGGCAACCTTAACTCCCTCATTGAACTACGTATTAAATCCTCTTTATGTTTGGATTTAGATTTACATGACCTGCGAGGAAAATACTTATGATATTGATGAAAATGTAACTTGACTTCATTTCCAATGCCTCCCAATTTCCAATTTCCTCAATTAAAGTAGGTCGAAAATTGATGATAAATATGATGAATTTTTGAAAATCATCATTCCCTAATGTAAACCAATGGGAAATGAAACAATTCATCCCTTTCTTAGATACCAGTAGTGGCAGACCTACCAGTTGGGGAAAATATGGAGGAACATCCTACATCAGACATGCTGACATTTTTTACCAAAGTTGATGCCATAACAGAAAACCGAGCGTTATCTTTACTTGAGACCTTGAAGTATAACCTCTTTGGAACAGGTTGGTGTCTCAAATAATAACCATGTGTATTAACCAGTTCTTAATGGACATGGTTTTTGAAAAAACGATCTTGTTCTTAGGCATTTTATGTGGAACTACAAATAAAGAGTGGACCATTTTATATCTGTCGTTCACAGGTGTATGGAAGAATCCACTGCCAAATATGATGTACTTCATGAGATCTCCTTACCAGCCAGATGATCACAAATTCCCATACATCCAGTTTCATGTATTATCAGTAATATGGGGAAGTGATAAAGGAACAGATTATATAAAAGGCAATATGGGATATACTGACGAGGTACTGTTGAAACATAGCTTGCAGAATATCGTACGCCTTATATAGGCCTAGTAGTCGACGGAGCTTTTGTATCAATTTAAATTTCAAGGTGCCTTCAAATATATTTCAAGGTGCCTTCAAATATAATATGGATGTATTTTCAGTTATGGAATGAATTGTTTCAATGAAATGTCGAGTATGAAATGCAATATGTCAATGTACTTTCAGGTATGGATTGCAATATTTCCATGGTTTTGAGGTTACATTTATGTAACAGACTGTTTCAATGCACTTTCAGTTATGTACAGGGTGACCCAAAAAGTGCAACCCTCCATTTCTTCTATATTTTTCTTAAATGGAGGTAAATTGCTCTAAGATTTGGCACACAGGGACTTCATTCAATGTGGGATCCTCTGGCAGAGTTTTAATAATCATAGTTTTATATTGATAGAGCTATAGTTGTTTCAAAATATGCTCCAGATGTCGTCAATTTCGCTGAAAACAAACTTGCAATGTTCAAGGAAAACTGTTCATAACACGGGTGCATTCTTCCCCATGGGTATGGCTCAAATTTTGCAGCCATTGCTTGTAGAAGTTCTACAATTGCGGTTATTTTCATACACATTATCCTTTACATAACCCCATTTATAGAAGTCAGGGGCTTTGAGATCAAGACTGTGGGATGACCATGGGTTATCCGTCCTAGGAGAGATCACGATGCCCATGTCAAGCAGCGTGCCTACTAAGCACGCAGTTTGAAACTCTGACAAACTGCGCGCATATTTCAAAATGAAGACGGGGAGGACACGACTCCCAAAAAGAGCCAAAATACGAAAAATACAAGGTTAGTCTCGTTCTATAAGTAGTACCATTCTGTGAAGATGAACTTAATTTACTCTTAGTACTCAATGTTTTCCCCGATGTTAACCTGGTTATCTCAATATAAGGGTCTTAAGTAACTTCTGTGCTCAAAATTTTCAGTGTAAAGTTATATCTTTGTATTTTTATCGTCATATGCCGTTTATTCAGCCATTGTGTCTGTGTATGCTCGAATATATAGGATCACTCCATCTGATTAAAGCAGCATAGTTTGTGTTCAAAACGATAATACGCCATAAACGTGATTTAAACATTTTTCTTGTCAAACTGCGCGCCTATATTCACATGTATTTCCCAAACTGCGTGCCTAATATTTCCAAACTTGCCTATCCAAGCTTGTTTTGTATTATTAGAAAACGTAAGCGCCATTATGTAAGGCACATATGTGTCTAATAGTAGAACCCTATAATTGAAACACTATGAGAGTCCATCCACCAAATGGTGATCTAAAAATAAAATACTTTCTTTCGTTCCCAACTTAATTGTCACTTCTATTATACATTTTGACTTTCAATATGAAAATCTCATAAAATCTGCAATAAAGCAAAATTTCCAAAGCTATATGAAAAACACCTTTACGTGCCTCTGTAAAAATGTCAATGATAATATGTAGTTTTAATAGTGTATGCGCACAGTTTATAATTTCTGGCTAAAATAGGCGCGCAGTTTGTGGTTTACTTCTTTTTAATCTCCTGATTATCTATTTTATCTCGAAATATTTTGAATTATACATGATAAATGCGTAAGGAATTAAATATAAAACGAGTCTAAAGTATTTGTCATTTATGTTTAACGTGCTAGATCGAATTACGCATAAATTCCCGTTAAATCAGTGACGAAAATGCCATTAATCTGCTTATGTTTTAAAACTTAGATTCATTTGCACATAGTTTTTGCTAGTATTTGCAAGATTTGTATTTTCGCCACAGCATGAACGCATTGAACAAGAAAACAATGCAGGATAAATTTCCTTAAATTACGTTTCAAAATACAGACTCCAACTTAAATGATGCAATGTTGTTAGGCACGCAGTTTGTGATCGAAACAAACTGCGCGCCTACTTAGGCGCGCAGCTTGACATGGGCACGGTGGAGATAATCTTCTCATAGAAATGACTAGTGAGACAGGCTATGCTATCATTAGAAGTGTGAGGAGTAGCTCCATCCTTCAATAACCACTGTTCTTGTCTATTGAAGCCTCTATGTCACTCTAGAACTGCCTAGAACTTCCTGGGAACGTCAATGTTGCGCTGTGTGTTAACAGTAACAGTGTTGCCATTATCAACCTCAAACCAAAAGTGGCTGATGATTTCATGTTTGGAAATTGGCAGCCCAAGCTGTGCATTTAACAGAATGAAGGGGCCTTTGAAGCACTTCATCTGGAATTTGTCATCCCAGAACACATTATTTCCTGAGTTTACATGTTCAGAAAGAAGGGAATGTGATTCATCCGAAAACCTTACGTTGGAAATGGACGACATTTGGAGCATATTTTGGAACGACCATAACTCTATCAATATAAGACTATGATTATTATAACTTTGCCAGAGGATCCCACATTGAATGAAGTCCGTGTGTGCCAAATTTCAGAGCAATTAATCTCCATTTAACCTCCAATTAACCTCCAAGAAAAATATTGAAGAAATGGAGGGTTGCATTTTTTTGGTCACCCTGTATAGTCCACTATTTCAGTGCAATATTAATACCAGCTATGAAATGCAATGTTCAAAAGCACTTTCAGTCATGGAATGCAATATTTCAATGCACATTTCGTTATATTATAAATGGTTTCAATGCACTTTCAACTATGTAATGTAGTATATCAAGGGGCTTCCAGTTATGTAATGGTTTGTCTTAATGCACTCTCAGTTATGGAATGGACTCTTTTAGTGCGCTTTCAATTATGCAATCTTCTACTTTAATACATTTTAAGTTATGTAATGGTTTATTCTGATGCACTTTTAGATATGTAATGGACTATTTTAGTGTACTTTCAGTTATGCAATGGTCTACTTCAATGCACTTTCAGTTATGCAATGGTCTATTTCAATGCACTTTCAGTTATGTAATGGACTTTTAGTGCGCTTTCAGTTATGGAATAGTCTACGGCAAGGCACTTTCAGTTATGCAATGGTCTATTTCAGTGCACTTTCACACTTTCAAGTTATGTATGGTCTATTTTAATGCACTTTTATTGTACTTTCAGTTATGCAATAGTCTACTTCAATGTACTTTAGTTATGTAATGGTCTATTTTAAAGCACTTTCAGTTATGTAATGGACTATTTTACTGTACCTTCAGTGATGCAATGGTCTACTTCAATGCACCCTCAGTTATACAATGGTCTTTTCCAATGCACTTTCAGTTATGTAATGGACTATTCTAGTTTCAGTCATGCAATGGTCTATAACTTTCAGTTATGCAATGGTATACTTCAGTTATGCAATGGTCTACTTCAATGCACTTTCAGTTATGCAATGGCCTATTTCAGTGCACTTCCAGATTAGTGTACGGTAGGTCATGTAATTGTCTACTTCAATGCACTTTCAGTTATGCAATGATCTATTTCAATGCACTTTCAGTTATGTAATGAACTATTTTAGTGCGCTTTCAGTTATGCAATAGTTTACTTCAATTCACTTTCAGTTATGCATGGTCTATTTCAATGCACATTCAGTTATGTAATGGGCTATTTTAGTGTACTTTAAGTTATGCAATATTCTACTTCAATGCACTTTAAGCTATGCAATGGTCTATTTCAATGCACTTTCAGTTATAAAATGGCCTATTTCAATGCACATTCAGTTATGTAATGGACTATTTTAGTATACTTTCAGTTATGCAATGGTCTACTTCACTGCACTTTCAGTTATGCAATGGTCTATTTCAAAGCACTTTCAAGTTATGTAATGGACTATTTTAGTATACTTTCAGTTATGCAATAGTCTACTTTAATGCACTTTCAGTTATGCAATGGTCTATTCAAATGCACCTTCAGTTATGTAATGGACTATTTTAGTGTACTTTTAGTTATGCAATAGTCTACTTCAATGCACTTTCAGTTATGCAATGGCCTATTTCAATGATCTTTCAGATATGCAATGGACTATTTAAGTGTACTTTCAGTTATGCAATGGTCTACTTCAATGCACTTTCAGTTATGCAATGGTCTATTTCAATGCACTTTCAAGTTATGTAATGGACTATTTTAGTCCGCTTTCAGTTATGCAATAGTCTACTTCAATGCACATTCAGTTATACAATGGTCTATTTCAATGTACTTTCAGTTGTATAATGGTATATGTCAATGCATCTTCAGTTATGGAATGAACTGTTCCAATACAATTTCAGGTGTGGAATACAATATACCCAGATGAGGAACTGGACGGAAAAACTGGAATCAGTGTCCTTGTCACATTGCTCCATCCAGCTACCAATGGTACAATTAGACTTCAGAGCACGGATCCATTTGATCATCCATTGATTGAGCCAAACTACCTCAAAAATTCAGTTGATGTGAAACATTTGACGGCAGGTTAATAATTAATACATGTTCATCATCATATTATTAATCTAAAAAATTAAAAATAGGTCAACACATTTTCATACAATATGTAGTGAGCCTAGCTGATTTGAAACCTAACTAAATAAATAATCATTGCTATATTTCTGAAATCATGTTTCATATATAGGGATAAAGGTGTGGACAGAAAAACTTGCAAAAACAAATGTATTCAAAAGGGGAGGATTTGAACTGAAAAGAAATCACCACCCTTTATGTAAAGCTCACCGATTTGGCACCGATGCTTACTGGGATTGTTTCATAAGAGCAAACATGTGGACTACATTCCATCCATCATCAACATGCAGAATGGGACCAGCTACTGATAAAAACTCAGTCGTAGACCCACAGTTAAGGTACATTAATCCCGATTTATAATTCTGTCACTACTCCACTTGTATTTTATTGGATCGGTCTAATTGAGCGAAACCCCTGCTTCGGACTTTGATATTTTTACATCTTGTAAATTTACATGTCCTCTTTTGAATATTCATAATCTAATTTGGTTGATCTGTTGATATTTCTATATTTTTCATTAAAAAGTATTAGCCCAGGGGACTGTTCTCCAAACCGAGACTTAGGATTAGACTTAGGATTTTGCCGTTCCAAAGTATTTTGGCCCATTTTTGAGATATTGTGTCCGGAAAGTGGATAAAAACAAAATGTTCTCCAAATTTAATGTGTGACTTCTGAAGTAAGGGTGGAAGAAACCCTACCTAAGAATTGTCTAAATGTCTATATTCTGGTTGACTCAGCTTATTTTGGATGACTCATCTTATTCTGTATTACCTGAGACCTTCATAACAATTATGACAATTAAAAAAGGAAAGCTATCAGTTCAATGAATAATTTTTGGAATTCTACTAATTCTGCTCTTTCCAGTGATATATGAACCATATTTTGTAGATGTACGGGTGAATTTCATTGGAAAAGTAAACTTTTGAAAAATCATAGGTGATTTATCGCGAAACGAGGGGAAAATAAGGCCAATACCATGATTTTAGTGGACTATGACAATTACTCAGATGCGAGTTGGCAGTTACCAGTTTCGCCACCAGGTGGCTGATTCGGGGGAATTAACATGGCAGGGTATTACAAAATTTCCTTACTTGAATATGCATCAGTTTTAATGGTTCACTTTTCATATTACCTTTATGTATCTGATAGTCACAAATTAAAATATGTCCAGTAAAAGAAAATATTATCTGCCCAACACAAGAAAAGATATTTCACTTTGTGTGGTTTTACAACATGGGCTCTATGGGGAATCTCCCCGACCTAGAAGTCACATTTTCAAAGAAAATTAAATTTTCAAAGTTGATAAACTCTTTTCAAAACCACATTTCCTAATGAATTATTAATGACGTTAATCAAGATTATTTCTACTCGCATCTGGGATATTAAAAAAGGAAAGCTATCATTTCAGTGAATAATTTTTGGAATTCTACTAATTCTGCTCTTTCCAGTGATATATGAACCATATACTGTATGGGGGATGTCTGGATCAATATTTTGGAAAAGTAAACTTTTGAAAAATCATAGGCAATTTATCGCGAAAGGAGGGGAAAGTTAGGCCAATATCATGATTTCAGTGGACTATGACAATAAAAAAAGGAAAGCTATCATTTCAGTGAATAATCTTTGGAATTCTATTAATTCTGCTCTTTCCAGTGATATATGAACCATATATGGGAGAAGTCTGGGTGAATTTATTTCGAAAAGTAAACTTTTGAAAAATCATAGGCGATTTATCGTGAAAAGAGGGTAAAGTAAGTCCAAAACCTGAATACCATGATTGGTTGACTTTGACAATTAAAAGAGGAAAACCTATCAGTTAAATGAATAATCTTTGGAATTCTACTAATTCTGCTCTTTCCAGTGACGTATTAACCATATCTGAAGGATATTTGGATAATGAACCTTTTGAAAAATAATCAGTCACAAGGCAATCAAGGAGTTAGGGGAAGTTTTGCCAATACAATGATTTCAATCAGCTATGTCAATTAAAAGAACCAATCTATAATCCAAATGAAAAGTCTGAGGTGACCTACTAAGTTTGGTCTTTCCAATGATATATGGACCATATCAGTGGCTTTTCTGGATAATTTATCTGCAAGAAAAAACTTTTGAGAAAAATCTTTTTTGACTGAAAAATGGACGAAAATGTTTTGCAAAAATGTGAGAAAAAGTGAGAATGAAAGCCCTACTTGTTGATGTATAACCTATATATAACTTTATAAACACATAAATTATGTCATTTTTAACATAAATCGTCAAAAATCCACGGATTCTTCGACAGTCTTCCTTGTGAAATTTTTTCTCAATTTTTCAATCGCCTATTATGGTATTGTAAGGACGTTTCTGATGCAGATTCTACTATTTTCCAATAATTATGCACCCAATAATACCATTTAATAGATTAAATACATACCACACAGTGAGTATAATTACATAATTGTAGAAAAGCACAGCTCCGGCGAAAAGAATTCGCCAATGGTGATCGTCTAGAATCCAAATCTCGAGAAATCTCGTTTGGCGTGGGGATTTTGAAAATTTAATACATGGTCAATGGAAGGCTTCCAATCCCATTTATGTTAGTCTCAGGTTATCCTGTTCCCGGACTATAGTCCTGTACGGAGCCCATACATTTGCCTGTACGATTACAACTTGGGAGAATTATCTACGCCCCTTCCACTTAAGAAACCTACCTCAATGCATTCTAGAACTCAAAATGTTACTTCTAATATATTGGAACCGCCGATTGTCTGGGTTTGTTGGCAGAACGAGGTCTTTTTGTTTCTTATGGCTCTTTTGGTCGAAGTTCGATTAAGATGGCGGTTATAACGGAATTTCCCGAACTCTTCCGTAATAGCACGAACTTGGTTTTTCGTTACTTCACTTCCATGTAAAATGAATTTGTTTCCGGTAAGAAACATTGTTTAACCATTCGGTATACAGTTAAGAGCATAGGATGTCGACATGGCAGTAAATATTGAAAATATTGTCCGAAATTTTCGAAATTCCCTCTTACCCGAAACAAATCCATTTTACACGGAAGTGACGTAACGAAAAACCAAGTTCGTGCTATTACGGAAGAGTTCGGGAAATTCCGTTATAACCGCCATCTTAATCGAACTTCGACCAAAAGAGCCATAAGAAACAAAAAGACCTCGTTCTGCCAACTAACCCAGACAATCGGCGGTTCCAATATATTAGAAGTTACATTTTGAGTTCTAGAATGCATTGAGGTAGGTTTCTTAAGTGGAAGGGGCGTAGATAATTCTCCCAAGTTGTAATCGTACAGGCAAATGTATGGGCTCCGTACAGGACCATAGTCCTGGAACGGGATAAGTCTCAGGTATTACCCAGCTTAAAAAAGTCTGAAATCTTAGGAGTCTTAAATTGAACTTGTTCAATTTTTACATGTCTAGTTAAACGAGTAATGCCTTTGCCCGAGATCTTTCAAAGTATTGTCATGTTTTGCAGAGTGAAAGGGATTGAGAATCTGAGAGTGGCAGATGCATCCATTATGCCTCATGTCGTATCAGGCAACACCAATGCGCCATCTATTATGATAGGAGAGAAGGCTGCAGATTTGATTAGACAATCTTAAAGATTCCCTTTCCTTATTGATCAGACCCTACATTATTAAAATTTTTGAAAGCTTTCACATGATCCATATATATCAGGCCCGTCAGATGGGGGGGGGGGGGTGCGATGGGTGCGACCGCACCCCCCTTTGATACCCCCCAAAAAAATTTAAAAATTAAAAAAAAATATTTTTGAAAAATATTTTTTTTGTAATTATTTTTCATCATCTCATACACTTTTAGAGTGCCCAGAAAGCATCAAATAGCATCTTAAAATTGTAAAATTTTCTAGAGGGAGTGGGTCACCCCTCACACCCCCTCAATACAATGGAAAAGTTCTGAATTTATTTGATGTATTGTCTCAGACACTTTTAAAGTGCCCAAGTGCCCAGACTTCATAACATAGCTCCTTGATATAGTCAATGTTTCTGGTGGGGGACAAACACATGCTCCCCTTCGGGATCCCCACCCCAACCCACCTCCCCCTCTGGCACCCTCGGCCCTCGCCCCCTGGACACCCCTCCAAAAAATTGTGATTTTCTCAAATTTTTAATTGACTCATACACTTTGAAAGTGCCCAGAGAGCACTAAATAGCGTTTTAAAATTGTAAAACTTTCTAGGGGGAGTCGGCCACCCCTCACACCCAAAGCAAAATTGAAAAGTTCTGAATTTATTTTATACATCATCTCAGACACATGTAAAGTGCCCAGACATCATCAAATAGCACCTTGATATAGTCAATGATTCTGGGAGACTAACACTTACTCGCCCTCTTGCATCCCCACCCTACCTCCCCCTCTGGCACCCCCTCCCCCTTTGACAACCCCCAAAATATTGTGATTTTTTCAAATTTTTTATTGAGTCATACACTTCGAAAGTGTTCAGAAAGCACCAAATAGCATCTTAAAATTGTAAAATTTTCCAGGGAAGTAGGCCACCCCTCACATCCCCCACAAAAAATTCTGAATTTATTTCATGCATTGTCTCAGACACTTTTAAAGTGCCCAGACTTCATCAAATAGCACCTTGATATGGCCAATGTTTCTGGGGACAGATATTGGGGAAAAACATTTGCTGGCCCTCTGGCACCCTAATCTCACCTCCCCCTCTGGCATCCCCCCTCTGGCATCCCCCTTTGACACCCCTAAAAATTGAAAAAATGTAATTGTTTTTCAATTTTTTTTCGATTGACTCATACACTTTAAAAGTGCCCAGAAGCACCAAGTATCATCTTAAAATTGTAAAATTTTCTAGGAGAGTTGACCACCCCTCACATCCCCCACAAAACAATTGAAAAAATTCTGAATTTCATGTATTGTCTCAGACATTTTTAAAGTGCCCAGACATCATCAAATGGCACTTTGATATGGTCACTGTTTCTTGGGAACAACCCCTTAATGCTCCCCCTCTGACACTCCACCCCACTTCACCCTTTCATTCTCTTTGACATCCCCAAAAAGAATTTGAAATTTTTTTTATCGACGACTCATTCACTTTAAAAGTGCCCAGAAAGCACCAAATGGCATCTCAAAAGTGTAAAATTTTCTAAGGGGAGTGGGTCACTCCTCACAAGTTTGGAGGTTGCATTTGTTTTAATTTTAAATTTAAAGTGCCTAGAAGTCACCAAGTGACATAATGAAATCATAAAAACATAAACATTTCTGGCAGCCAACCCCAAAAACAAAAGCATTCATTTACTCAAACACATTAAAAGTGCTCAGAATTAACCAAACAGCATCTTGAATTTGTAAAATTTTCCTTGCTGCCCCCCTAAGAAGAAAATGATTGAAAAAATCTGAATTTCTTATAAATAGATTCTGTTTCAATTAAAACACCTTGAAAGGATCCAGAAATCACTGAATGTGATCTTGAACTGGTAAAAGTTCTCGGGCATTTATGCCCTTCTAGTACACCCTCCCCCTATTCCAGTATTTCTCCAAATTGCTCATACAATATTTAGTCTAAAAACAATACGAAAACAATAAAATACTACAAAATATAGGGAGTAACCGACCCCCCCCCCTTGACTTACGCAATTTGATTTACGCGGTAAAAAATTGACAATTTTATTTTCTCTTTAGTTAAAACCGCACCCCCCTTGGAGAAAAGTGTCTTACGGGCCTGTATATGGACGCATAATTAACTTTAAACACCATGCTTCCAGCAAAAATCAATGCACTAGATATTTTTTATACGATCAAGGCTGCAGATTTGATTTAACAATCGTAACTTTAGACTTATTTCTCATTCATTTTTAAAAGTATTTACAATTCAGATATATCGTTACAGTTCAGATATATCTGAATTTATTGTATGATGTAATTAATAGACCAAAAGGGCCCCTTGTGGATCACACTAGTGTACATTCATGTAAGTTGAAAAATGAGTTAAAGTGAGTCTTTTATGAATCATTTTATTGGTATTATATGAATAAACATCAAGAACCAATTTTAAAGCTAACGTACAGTAGTATGACTGAAATTGATAACGATGCAATAAAATGAATGACACTGCTTTAGCTTTAAAAATCGATTGATGAGTCTCTCGTAAGTCGGCAAGGGCTGGATGTACTTTACGTGTGAGACAGAAATAAATGAATATACATACAAACATCACATCATTTACTAATATGGACACATAATTGTTTTCGAACTTTTCCGATAGAATGAATATCATCGTATTTGTTTTTGAGATGTACGAGTAAAATGTACATTTAAAATGCATAACAAAATGAATAGCAAAATGGTCTTCCAGATTATAATTTCCAAGTCCAAGTTAAAAGTCGTGTACATGGGGAATCGTAAAAGGCTCAGTTTTGAAACTCAAGTTTAAGGTATGCCAACTGTTGGTGAATGAAGTGGTAATTCGGTTTCTCTACTGCATGTTAAAGGGTTCCGATTAGCATCCCGTATAAAAACAATATGGCGGCTCCAGGCGAATCAACTGGATCAGTCCATTTTTAAGAAATAAGGGGAGTTCTGTAAAATCCAGTTTATTGAAATTGTCTTTGAGATAAAGAAATCCTTTTATAATGATTTTGAAAACGTTATCCAAAGAGTGATTGCGTTCAAAGAATACATGTACAACAGCCAATATAAATCCTTGTATTAGAAACCGGTTTGTCTTGCTTTGTTTCATTTGTAGGATATTTCATATGTCAAGCTGTGTGCTATTACGTTATGGGGAAATTTAGATGCCAATTTTTCCTTATTGTACACAAATAGAAGATCCTGAAACTTCACCCATAAATGTGGAATTGATTTGTCAAAATAAAAATCACCCTTTTATAAATGTGTGACGATCTATAATATACTTATGCTATATAACAGTTAGAGGTGTTGACACAACGACCTCGAACCTGTGAACCCTTGAGTATTATTCCGGGATCGGGCCTTTTATACCAAACGGTGAGCAACACCAGAAACGAGCGTTCGATTTGCTAAACGATATGCGTCACCCTTTAAGGAGCACGTAGGTAACTTATCGCAAACAATTTTAGACGTTTGTAATATAAATTATGAATATTTTCTGATCATGAACACGGGTACCGGTGTATCTATGAGACTCGTTCATCATCTCCAAGCAAGGTATGTATATAATGATAATTAAGTTAACCAGACTAAGTGATATCAAAGAGGCAAAGGACCACCAACCAACAATCTTTTTCAACTAATTGTTGAACTAATTTTCAATATACAAACCAACATTCTTTTTCAACTAATTGTTGAACTAATTTTCACCTCCTTTTTCAACTAATTGTTGAACTCATAAAAAAATTTAAAAAAGCATGGTCATACATTTAACATTGTAAAAAAATATTTCATTTTTGGTGAATAACAGGCGAACAAAAACCTTAAAAGATAAATAGTGTTATATACCATGGGAAACATCATCCAAGGTTATGTTAACTCACCAACTCTCCAGTATTTTGGATGAAAGGCCTATATATATTTTAATGATGACCTTTATAGTTAAGTGTAGTACCCTCCTTAAGTCAAAAGGTTCATCTTTTTCGCATTCCACTCATTACAGAAATTGGTTAAATTCATTTACACTGTATGCTGACTTTTCTTATGCCTGAATCTTAAAATCCTGCCAAAAACTTCAAATTGCCATGTTTCTAGCTAGGCCTATGGTCATCTCAATTGATACAATTTAAAAATTTGTGAGATTGACATGTGTAACCCTACTATCACACCAAACTAGTTCTCACTACGTTTTCGAAAACGGGCTTCAACTGTGTACGAACGGACTGGACATACTAAGAACCATTTGGGATCTATTTACAAACTTCATCGAACGTACTCGAACGGGCAGGTCCTCTAGAACTTAAACAATGCTCAAAATGTTCTCGTTGTCGTCACGTTCTACAATCAGAACGAGTGACAACGTACTAACGACGAGCTGGACGTACTACGAACGGAACCGTCGTACTTCAATCCTACTAGGAACGTTTTAACAACGAGTTGAACTGTCTGAGGACGTGTTGAGAACGAGGTAGAACTAATTGAAAACGGGTTTAAACTAATTAAGAACGTATTTAACACCGCTTATTAACGAGTTAGCAAAAATATAGCTATCACACCAAACAAATTGCCAGTGCGTTCTTTAAAACTGTGTGCGAACGGAATGAACGTAGCTGCAACTTTCAAAGGTCTATTTACGAACTTTATGAACGTTCTCAGACGGGAATGTGATTTTAGAACTTTGAATCGATTCAAAATTCGATGGCGACCATACCGTTCTGTAATCAGGTCATGTTGACCTTCTAGACTAAGGGACGCGTTCTACGACGTTGCACACCGACGTGGTGCGTATTGAAGACTGTTTAAGAACGAAGAAGCTAATTATTTCAGACATATTTCCCGACCACAGCCAGATTGAGCCCGTTTTACGACGTTTTCGTAGGACTGACAAGAACGGGTAAGAACTAGTTTGTTGTGATAGGGGGGTTAGCTATATGTTAATAAACGTAACTTTGGAAGACCTTTCCAATGATATATCACACTTGGTACAATACATCTTGGTTTTGGCTGTAGATGGAGGGGGGGGGTTAAAACTAAACGTTTTACTTCATTGATAAGATACCCTTTTTTCAAAATGAACCAAACTTTCCTTTGTACATTAAATACATATTGTTAGACATAAACACCTTGTGTATATGTCGTTTTGTTCCAATGAGGTTGAATAGATGTTTCATTTTGTTTCGAACATTTGATACGTGTAACAAGAACAAAAGAGGTGTCTGATGTGTTTCCTAAAACGATATATAGAAAAGTATAATATATATCTTTTCAAATTATATCGTTAACATTCAAAGGATGATCATTAAATTGACGATGTGTAAAATTTTCAGAATTTTTGATGGCTGATAACCCCCCTATCACACCAAACTAGTTCTTGCCAGTCCTATCAAAACATCGTAAAACGGGCTAAAATTGGCTGTGGTCGGGTAATATGTCTAAAATAATTAGCCACTTCGTTCATAAACAGTCTTCAATACGTCAATCTCATTCGCAGTTCAATACCAGGACTGGAAAGAACGGTTGAGAACTAGTTTGGTATGATTGAGGCCTTACCCTACTATCACACCAAACTAGTTCTCACGTTCTCGAAAACGGGTTTCAATTGTGTAAGAACGGACTGGACGTACTTAGAACCGTTTGGGGTCTATTTACAAACTTCACCGAACGTACTCGAACGGGTAGGTCTTCTAGAACTTAGAACATGCTCAAAATGATCTCTTGGTCGTCACGTTCTACATTTAGAACGAGTGACAACCTACTAACGACGAGCTGGACGTACTACGAACGGAACCGTCGTACTTCAATCCTACTAGGGACGTTTTTACAACGAGTTGAACTGTCTGAGGACGTATTGAGAACGAGGTAGAACTAATTGCAAATGGGTTAAAACTGATTAAGAACGTATTTATCAACGAGTTAACAAAAATATAGCTATCACACCAAGCAAGTTGCCACTGCGTTCTTCAAAACTGGTTTTAAACTGTGTGCGAACGGAATGAACGTAGCTACGTTCTACGGTCTGTTTACGAACTCCATTGACTTTTCCGGACGGATTATGTGATTTAGAATTTTGAATCGATTCAAAATTCGATGGCGAGCATACCGTTCTGCAATCAGGTCATAATGACCTTCTAATCTAACGGATGAGTTTTTTTCGTAGGACTGGCAAGAACGGGTAAGAACTAGTTTGGTGTGATAGGGGGGGAGGGTAATTCTAAATCGCCTTCCCGTCTGAGCAGGTCCATTAAGTTCATAAATAGACCGTAGAAAGTTGCAGCTACGTCCATTCAGTTCGACCATAGTTTAAAACCAGTTTGACAACTTTTTGAAGGACGTGCGCAGTGATAACTATTGTAGTGGTTTGATAGCTATTTTACCGAAACCATTAATGGGTTTTACTTTACAAAATTGAAAAGAAAAATCATGTAAAATATAAAAACTTGAAAAAAAGTATGTTCTAGCTTTAAACCATATTTAGAGCCTGGTATTCAAAAGGTTACTTATTTACCAGAGTGTCCTATAAATGGGAATTGGGCCAACATGCCGAGTATTAAGTATCGTTGTATATGTGTCAGAGTGACAGACTTAACATACACGGTAAACACTGCACAGCTTAAATGATGTTCCAGAGTCTGGACGATCCTTGTAGATTACACAATTGATTAAAATACATGCTTAGGATTAGTATTGATAGATCAGTGTGAGAGGTCAAGTATAGACATTGCACTGCTTTACAATGTTCAAGAGTTTGTCATATATCATAGTTCTTGCTGCGATTTATCTCTATTTTACAAAGGAAAGGGCTGAAGACATTAATTCGAAAATACAGGATGTATTAGATAAGGAATATGACTATATTGTAGGTAAGGAAAAGGGTAGATTTGCAAAAAAATGGAGAAGACCATTCAAATATTACTTTGAAAAGTCATTTGACACATATTTACGAAATATATGACTTTTGAAAAAAATTGATCATTTTAAAATTTCCAAATATTTGAATTTCCAGTCATTTTAAAAACAAATGTGTAGGTTCTTAGATCATCAAATACAACACTCAACGCTCATTTCAACCACTAAATCTATTTTGTCTATGCATGCATACATAGTAGCCGAGACAACACAAGTCCCAAGTCTGTATTTTTACTCTCATTTCTTCACTTTTAAGAGTTAAGTCACCACATTTTGCATGCATATTCCTTGCAGAAATCCTGACATAGAATTTTATTGGTTTTGATTATAACTTAAATTTGTTGAAAATAGAGAAACATTTGATTCTGATTGGTCTATAATCAAAATTTGCCATTTTCAGCGCCAAATGCATTATTTTAACTTTATATAAAAAATCACTACTTTTGGTGTAATAATTCCAAATTGACCACATGTTTCCTTTTTCAGCAGAAGTGTAACTATTTTGGGGTAATTGAGACATATCCGAGAAAAATGGTATGCAGAAACATGATATTTGAAATAAAACGGGGCCAAAAAGGACCCCTGAAGATGCCTGCATTATTTGAGATTTTTTGCGTGTTTTAATTTCCTGAAAAATGGATGGGGTAGGGGAGTGACATACCCTTTGGGCTTATTCCAGTAACCATTTTAATCAAATGAATGATGACATATTTGGTATCATCTTAAAGCTTGTAATGTGTGCGTTAATTTGGTACCCGTATTATGACGTCAGATGCTATATTGTGACGTCACAGTAGTAACAAACGATCTTAAAGGGGAAATTCAGGACCAAAATGCGGCAAAATAATGGCGTGACTCCACCACTGTTTTGCCAATTCACTGCTTGCCACAATCAATGAATGCATTTCTCATTGGGGTACTCTTCCAATGCATGATCTGATGACTGGCAAAAAATATCTTGGATGATAGTTATTGTCAATAAGATTAGAGACACCATATTGAATCTATCATTTATAACTTCAATTTTTTATTAATGACGTCAAAATGTTCCATTTGTTACACAAAATGGATAATTCTGATTATGGACCAATACAAATCAAATGTTTCTATATTTTTAACAAATAAATTATAATCGAAACCAATAAAATTAGATGTTAGGATTTCTTCAAGGAATATGCATGCAAAATATGATGACTTAACTCTTAAAAATGAAGAAATGAGCGTAAAAATACAGACTTGGGACTTGTGTTGTTAGTGCTACGGCCAAGCCCATTTGTGTCCAAAACGCCTAGATTCAATTTGACTTTAGATTCTTGTAGGGGACCCCAAGGCATGTAAAAAAAGTTTGTGAACCCTTGCAAAGCAGGCTCAAAAGTGCTGAGTCAGCAAATTTATCATTTTCGAGTCGGAGTTTGACCATATGCTTGAAACTATTTAATATCTCATTTGAGGTTGTTGCAATTATAATGAAACATTATTAATAAATCAGTAAGGCATGTATGAAGAATTCCTGAAAGTTTGGGTCTTATCCAACAGAATTTGGTAAAGATATGGGATAATTTGTCCCTAAAAGTACATAATTTCTCATCAAAATTTCTTAATCAGTCGATAGTTAATCCGTCATTTAAAAAACAGTAAGGGCCTATGGTATACAAAACCTGATTAAAAACTTCACTGATGATGTTAGCAAATATTTCTTGCATAAGTTTCAATAAAAAGTACCAGCATCTATCTTTTACTATTTTTTACAGCTCCAAAGCCTGTTGCCCGGATAAAATAACTAATAAAATGCTCTTAATGACTGCACATACAATATCTCATCCTTTAGCTGACCTTTTTAACAAGTTACTCAAAAATTGCACTTTCCCGAACTCCTGGAAAATTGGAAATATTTGCCCCATTCACAAAAAAAAAAAATCAGAAATATCGAACTATCGACCCATTACACTATTGAGCTGTCTGTCAAAAATTTTTGAAACTATTGTCACTGACAGAATTAAAAACCACTTGATTTCAAATGACCTTTTGTTTAAATTTCAATCAGGGTTTCTGCCAGGGTACAGTACTCAGGCGCAGCTAGTCGCCATTGAACATCTTATACAAACTAATTTGGATAAAGGAAAGGGAATAAAAGCCCTATTTTTAGACATCGCGTCAGCCTTTGACTGTGTGCCACATAGACTTTTACTCTTAAAAACAAAATCATATGGTATAGGTGGCCAAGTTCTCAAAATGTTGAAGTCATATCTAAATGATCGCAGAGTTAGGGTCACAATAGCAGGCACTTCCTCACATTTATCTGAACCAAATGCTATAAGAAGCGGTGTCCCACAGGGGTCAATATTAGGCCCCTTGCTTTTCCTTTTATTTATAAATGATCTACCGGATGACCTTGACACAGACTGTTTCATCTATGCTGATGATACCTCAGTATATTTTCCATTTAGTACTCAAAATCCAAAAGAAATTGACGATAAAGTAAATGAATCTATAAGAAAAATTATACATTGGTCTGAAAAATGGAAACTTAGTTTTAAACCCGAGAAAACGAAAGAAATAATATTCCATAAGTCAAAAATTCAATTATCACAGGTAAGTGAAACCGTCATGAACAATATACCCATTGATCGTGTGAATTCACAGAAACACTTAGGATTTATATGTGACGAGCACTTGACAAATGAAGCACACATCTTGTCAATTCGAGATAAAGTAAATAAAATGATCAATCCGCTTAAGTCTCTACAACGAAATCTTACATCTAAATCTTTGGAAACTATTTTTGTATCATTCATAAGACCACATTTTGAATATGGTGCCATTATTTTTAACTCTTCGAATAAATACCTTCTCAATATTTTGAACCAATACTTTTACCAAGCAGCACTTATCTGTAGCGGCTGTATTCATGGAAGCAGCACAGAAAAAGTCATTGATACACTTGCATGGACACCTCTTGAGACCAGAAGGGATATGCAAATTTTGAGATTTATGTATCGTGTAAATCACAATTTATGTCCAAAATACATTACCGATATTTTTGAGCCTTTAAAAATTCAAAATGCAAGAACATTAAGACATAAGATAGACTATAGATTGCCCGCAAAATGCTCAGATAAACTGAAAAAGTCGCCAGCTGCTGCCTCACTGTGGAACAGAGCTCCACAATATCTAAAAGAAAGTCTAAGTCTTCCTATCTTTAAAATTCGCCAAAAAAAACTTATCCAAGAATCAAAACCTAAATTTGACCCTACAACCAAACTAAAGCTTACCAGGAACTTAGAAATCGTACTAAACAGATTCAGAGTAGATCTGATTTTTAAAGCCAAACTATATGCACACAACTTTACCACTTTAAACACTCCCAACTGTGCTTGTGGATTACCTGAAACCCCAAAACATGTCTTTTTTAGATGCCCTCAAAATCTTGCAAGCAGAACAATGTTTTTTAATAAAATCTCAATATACAAACCAAACACTATCAAAAATGAAAACCAAATTATGCATTTTTTGAAATATGGAAGTAATGACCTTTCCATAGTTTTTCTGTATCATCCTCATCTCCCTTTTTGCCCTCATGGAACCAAAAACTTGACACCTAACTCTCATTCTTAGCCAGACACCCCCAGTTCTTCTATGCCACAATGGACAAAATGCTGTTCCTAATTGTATAAAATATAAATTATGTATTTAAGCTTGGCCTATAATGCCACTAGGCGATTGGCAAGCAATTCGATGTAAATTTGAATATCATGAAATAAATAGTTTATCATATAAAAAAAAAATCTATTTTTCTTATTTTTCTCTTTACCTTCCCCAAAAAATTCAAGAAAGGGGGCGTGGCACATTACACCTCAGTTGTTGAACTTGTTGCTAGGATCAAATAGAAAATGTGTATCACTATAGCAAAATGTGTTAAATCTAAACACTATGTGTGACATCATAATATGCTAAATATATTCATTTTCTACCATTTTATATTTTTACAGCTCATCTTTGCCATACTCCATAAAACCGTTTAGGGTATGTGTGGTCAGCAATCGGAAATACATGTATGTGTACATTCAAGTTCAAAATTGTATTTCAAATGCCATTCTATCCTAATGTTGTTGATGTAGTTAATGAATTATGATGATAATATGTTATATTACACTCCCCATCATAAGTTTTGTAACTGGAAGTCCCCCTTTGTATCACTTATCAAAGCTTGTCATGTTGTTTGGTAATTTTAAACAAGACATCAAGCTTTTGAAATAAAGCAATAAGGATCAAAATCGAGGCTCAAACATTGACAGACGTTGAAATGTTATCATATGAAAACTTGCAGTTGCCAAGCTTAGAGAGGGGGTGTATATATATGCTTTGTATTATATGTGTCATAAATTGTTTAGTTGTAGAAACCTGAAGCCAAAGGAAATAATAGTGCGTTACATTCTCTCAAGTGATCAATTTCTTGGCACTAGGTTTGTTGACATTACTTATATGATATGTGACATTAACCGAGTTTGGTCATAAGGCCAACATATTCCAATGGCGCAGAATCCTACTCACCCCATCAAGTCCCGCCATACCATATCAAGTCCTACAATGTCCCATGAGACCTTATTAACTTTGCCCCGTGGAGTCTCGTCGAGTTCCTCCATAAATGTCGCAGTCATTTTTATCCCAAGTTAGCTGACACATCCCATGATCAAAAGTCCCACAATGCCCAATGGAAAGAGAATGAACAGGTTCATTCTCAATGGGGCTTCGTGGGACTTTGCCAAATGATACCCCATCGAATCTCATGGGACTCAATGGGGCTTCATGGGGAAAGTCCCAAGGAATCCCAAGGTGTTCCATCAGGCAAAGCTCAATGAATTCCAACAAATTTCCATGAGGTCCCACCCAATGTTAAATCAATGGAGGTCCCACCATGTCGTATTGGTGCATGTTAGGCTTTAGCGAAGTAATTTCCTTTGTTTACATTCATCAAAACGTTAACTAATGATCTTTTTCTTCTGCATTCAATTCATGACCACATGTTACTACAGAATCTATAGGATCCTAGTGGATGAGGCATTCCCTGGTAACACTTGGCCTTGGATTGAATGTCTTTAACTGGTGAATAGGTTTATTATGAAGGGGTTTTGTGATAACATATGGTCTTGGAAAAACAGATTCCAAAAGTCAATCAGAGTGACAAAACATAAGTAGTGCTTGATAACTGAGTGTGGATTGGTTGATCACAAGATATTATCAGTCAGCAGCTTATTAAGTACTATAACAGTTAGCAGGGAACAAAAACTGGAACTTACTGTCAATGATACTGCTCCAGGAGTAATGAGTCATCTGTATAAAGCATAATCAAGGTTGTAGAAGCAAATGAAAACCCATTTAAGATTGAAAATTCTGATGATTAGCCATCTTGATTCTCAAGATTTCAATTGCTTCAAATGAATAACAACTTGGAAGTCGAAGATGATAATAAGCTCCGTTGAACACTTACACTATTATACTTACATGGAGGGGATGACTTATGACATCAGAAAAAGCTTATCATAAATGAAACTGGACAGAAACTTAATGAATAATCCAAAAATACTTGACTGGTTGAAAAAGATGCTAAAAGGTAATTCCACTCTACAACACTATAAAATATAAAGACTCTAACGTTATAAATGATGATGTTCACAACTAAAATAACTGTAATCGACGAGTGAAATTGATTGCAATAATCAAGGTTTTAAAAATCTATTTCTATGTTTTGGTGCATATATACAAAGGAGGTTACTTCGCTGGCGCTACTCAACTCTTCTATCCACAGGGATACAATTGTTTCCTTTACAAAGAACAATCAATTCCCTTGATACTATGTGAAGTATCGGGTGCTAGACTAGGGATGAAACATTATCTCCAATTCTGTAGGGACAACAGGGGCGTAGCCAGCTTTTGTTCAGGGGGGGGGGGGTCGATCCCGAGGGGTTCACTGTGTACAAAATGTGGCGGGGGTCCTAGGCTAAACCCTCAGATATCAATATATTCCCCTACAAAAATGTCAAATTTGGATATGTTCCCATACCAACCGATATAGTGCCCAAAAGCCAAACCAAATGCCCAAATATAAAACAATGCCATACCAAATGTCAAAATATAGGACCAATGCCACGACTGGTCCAAAGTAGAATATTTCCTGGGAAAAAAAGCTATTTATTTAAACTGAAGAAGGTCCCAAGAAGAAGATGATCTTTGAGGAAAATGAACAAAACAACCTCGAATTAGGATATGTGTAACTACTACACTGGTGATCCACTCGATTACGCTGGTTACCAAAACGAACCGTTTTGGTAACAAAATGTCGGAACGTCGAAGGCACGATTTTTCTTTTTTCCTTCACGCGTTGTAGGCAGAATCCCCACGACGTTTTTTCACACAACGTGCATCAGTAAATCAGTATCATGTTTTAGAAAATGTACATGTTTGCGAAAAAATAGCTCAGAGGACAACAGAAACGTCGATTTACTTCCTCACTTAAGTTACATAAACGGTTTTTCGAAAAACAGTTAAGATCTGCACTTTTAACCCAAACCGTTGATGTAACTTAAGTGAGGAAGTAAATCGACAATTCTCTTGTCTTCTGAACTATTTGTTCGCAAATATGTACACTTACTTAAACATATGATACTGATACACGTTTGTGTTAAAAAATGTCGTGGGAATTCTGCCTACAACGTGTAAAATAAGGAAAAGAGAAAAATGGTACCTTCCGGGTGTTCCGACATTTTGTTACCAAAACGAACCGTTTTGGTAACCCGAGCGTAATCGAGTGGATCACCAGTGTACTAGACCAATTCCATACCATAATTGTGAGATAAAATATTTTCCATGACCATTCTCATACCAGAAAGTTGAAAAATCTGACCATTTCCATCCCCCAAAAGTCATAATGAGGGGGCATTCTCATACCACATCCTAAAATTTGGGTCCATTGCCATACCAAATGTCAAAAAGGTACCCCATGTGTGCCGAGGATCCCCGTCAAGGTATGTATACAGTATATACAGTTTGATCGCCAAAAAAATACACCGCCTCCATAAGTTGGGCAACTGGAAGTTATTATGAAAGCATATGAAAGTCTGTCTATTTTTAAAACTTGATTATGTTCCTTATTACCATATTTCAGATACTTCGATTTCATATGCCAAAAATAAACAGGCTTTAATAAGTGATTCAAAGGGGTTCGAGTTGCCAAACTTATGATGGGAAGTGTTATCATTCATAAACATAAACCATAACTACATGAACAACATTAGGAAAGAATGGCACCTGAAATACAATTTTGAAAAATGTTATTAGTACACATACATGTATTTCCAATTGCTGACAACACATACCCTAAACAGTTTTATGGGGTATGGCAATGATAAGCTGTAAAAAATATAAAATGGTAGATAATGAACATGTTTAGCATATTATGATGACACATATAGTGTTTAGATTTATTTTGAATAACAAATTTTGCTATAATGATACACATTTTCTATTTGACGTACCCTAGCAATAAGTTCAACAACTGAAGTGTAAGGTGCCACGCCCCCTTTCTTGAATTTTTAGGGGAAGGTAAAGAGAAAAATCAGAAAAATAGATGCAAGCACTTTTCATTGAAACTTATGCAAGAAATATTTGCTAACATCATCAGTGACGTTTTTAATCAGGTTTTATACACCATAGGCCCTTACTGATTTTTAAATGACGGATTTACTGTAGACTGATTAAGAAGTTTTGAAGAGAAATTGTGTACTTTTAGGGACAAAATATCTTATATCTCTACCAAATTCTGTTGGATAAGACCCAAACGTTCAGGACTTCTTCATACATGCCTTATTGATATATTAATAATGTGTCATTATAATTGCAACAACCTCAAATGAGATATTAAATAGTTTCAAGCATATGGTCAAACTCCGACTCGAAAATGATAAAATTTGCTGACTCAGCACTTTTGAGCCTGCTTTGCAAGGGTTCACAAACTTTTTTTACATGCCTTGGGGTCCCCTACAAGAATCTAAAGTCAAATTGAATCTAGGTATTTTGGACACAAATGGGCTTGGCCGTAGCACTATGTCTCGGCTACTATGTTATAACTTGTGGCCGCCGTTGGACCTTTCTGCGGTCTTGCAACGGCCTGTTGATTTCTACGGAGACCTCAGAAATGTACAAATATTATAACTCCAATTATAATTTCTACGACTACCCTGCGGCCTGTAAAAAACTGGATACGCCGTACGGAGACCGCAAGGCGAACGTAAGATTTTCTACACTCGCCGCAGAAATTCACTGATTTAATTGATCTGCGGTCGATGCACGGCCGCCGTACGACAAATGTGACTGGGGTGTAAACCTTCAAATAAACGAATATTGTTGGCCTATATCTAGGTTGGAACTAAGCTCTTAATATGTTTCAAATATCTTGGGCCATTGGCATTCACTAAGAACTAAAATTTCTCTGAACCATTTTTTGTGTGCCTAGGAGTTAATTTTTCAACAATAATATTTCAACCTTTTACAGTCGGAGCAGGATCAGCAGGTGCTGTTATAGCAAGTAGACTGTCAGAAGACCCAAACACCAAAGTGTTACTCCTAGAAGCTGGAGAAGCATCAAACCCTCTCACAAAGGCACCGCTTGGCTTCACGCTTCTTCAACGAACTAGCATGGACTGGGAATACAAAACGGTTCCACAGAAACATTGTTGCAAAGGCTTGGAAAACTCGGTGAATAAATAATATACAATTCATACAAGTATTTTTGAAAATCTACCCTATTATAACGATTCCTTTATGATAAAAATATACTTGAAATAATCTTGCCTGATTCTTATCATTAAACACAGGTTGTCGTGCATCCATCCACAGCATGGATTTGGAGAGGCACACACACATACTAAATACCATTGGAAAGAACATTTAATAACAGTTAAAGTGTGAAAGAATAAAGATGTATGATAGAAAATAAGATATATTTGACCTTGCTTAAAATAGTCTCATGGAAAAGAATAAAATGGTGCTTTCGCACCATATAATGAAGAATATTGTTTAAAGGTGTTTAAGAATGAACCCATCATTTTAAATGCCCAATGTTGACCATACCAAAACATTAAAGGTGCAACAATCAGTGCAGAATATAGCAAGATTCAACGATCATGGACCAGTGTCAAAATATATTTAAGTTTGGATATTTTATCAAGACTTACATCTATTTTTTATTATTTTCTACAAAGAAATCCCCTAGATAAACATTCCTCTTGGATTTCCCCTTTTGAAGCTTTGAACTGAATTTATACTTCTTAATGCTGAAATTGATAGTTTAATTGATCATTTTAAGAAAAAAGGTATGTCAAAGACGATGTGAAGGGTAATTAAAGTCAATAATGTTATTAACGGTAAAACACTTATGATTTTGTGTTTTAATTCAAGTGGATATCGGACCTAAATGAATTTCTTGTTTACTAAAAGTATCAACAATGGATCAACTAATTTTCGAGAAATAACCCTTATCACCGGGGGAACCAGAAGCTACATTAACAAGATCAACAAGGGGTTGGGATCACATTTCAAGTCACGAAAGAAAAAAATAATTTGCAAAAGGTCAAAAATGGCCCAAAAAGACCAATTTTTGCCTAAATTTTCCATGGCAGTGCAGAAATAAAAAATATTGCATACTCCTGGGCATACATACTCATCTAGCAATGTTGGTCTTGCCAGTGTACAGCTAAAACGTCTTATATCTCAATATAGTATTTGGTATTTAATCATATGATACTCATCTTATACGTTTTTTAAGCAAAGTAAATGGACGCGTGGCAAATTACTTGGAGGTTGCAGTGCACATAATGGCATGCAATACACGCGTGGTAGTAAATATGACTATGACATGTGGGCAGAACTGGGAAACACAGGGTGGAGCTACAAAGATGTACTTCCATATTTCAAGAAATCTGAAACACAGCTTGATCCAAAATTAAGCAAATCAAGTAAGAGAAACATATCTACCAAGATTAGTAATTTTAAAGTAGAAAATTATTATCTATAAACTATTTGTAAACACATAATATGTAACTTCTATTTTAAATGGAAACGCCATTTTCTCCATTTAGTAAATGTTATACAGAAAATACCCAAAATTGACCAACCTCATTTGATTGGTATATTTTGTAACAATTCTGTATCTAAAAATGTATATTTTGTTATTACACCTGATGTACATTCTAGAATACCATGGTACCTCGGGGCCTTTGTACGTATCGACAGTGGATGAAGTTGAATGTGTAAAGTATGTTTATGATGCAGCGGTTGAAGCAGGGCTCAAGACTACAGAGGATTACAATGGCGAAGATCAATTGGGTAAATCATTTTCAGTTTCATTAAGTCTTGGCTTTAAAGATACATGAAAACCACACTATGCGATCGGAAAAGATGAACGGATGGGGGAGTAGCGAACTTCTGCTCGAAAATTCAATGAAGCTTGAAGATTTTCTGTCGCATTGCTCGATCTTCTAGAGTTCTTGAACCGATACGCTTCCAAGATATGAGATCTATTAAAAAGGCGCAGCGTCACCAACGTTCAAAAGGCAATGCTTTCGCTATAAACCAAGCAACAATGGTCAACACGACCTATAATAAATACTTATGGTAGTGACGTAACCCTACTATCACACCAAACTAGTTCTCAATACGTTCTCGAAAACGGGCTTCAACTGTGTACGAACGGACTGGACGTACTAAGAACCGTTTGGGATCCATTTAGAAACTTCATCGAACGTACTCGAACGGGTAGGTCCTCTAGAACTTAGACAATGCTCAAAATGTTCTCGTGGTCGTCACGTTCTACAATTAGAACGAGTGACAACGTACTAACGACGAGCTGGACGTACTACGAACGGAACCGTCGTACTTCAATCCTACTAGGGACGTTTTAACAACGAGTTGAACTGTCCGAGGACATGTTGAGAACGAGGTAGAACTCATTGCAAACGGGTTTAAACTGATTAAGAACGTATTTAACACTGCTTATGAACGAGTTAGCAAAAATATAGCTATCACACCAAACAAGTTGCCCCTGCGTTCTTCAAAACTGGTTTTAAACTGTGTGCGAACGGAATGAACGTACCTGCAACTTTCTAAGGTCTATTTACGAACTTCATGAACGTTCTCAGACGGGAATGTGATTTTAGAATTTTGAATCGATTCAAAATTCGATTGCGACCATACCGTTCTGTTATCAGGTCATGATGACCTTCTAGACTAAGGGACGCGTTCTACGGCGTTGCACACCGACGTGGTGCGACCTGAACGAACTGCGAACGAGATGGACGTATTGAAGACTGTTTAAGAACGAAGAAGCTAATTATTTCAGACATATTTCCCGACCACAACCAGATTGAGCCCGTTTTACGACGTTTTCGTAGGACTGGCAAGAACGGGTAAGAACGAGTTTGGTGTGATAGGGGGGTTAACAAAATTAATGCCATTCCTGTATTTTAAAATTAAATTACCATACGTTAATATAAAAGATAATCGATATCAACTAGAATTTAACGGAGGGGGAGTTGTATCTTGAACTGTTTTCATTCATGTATTTAATAAATGAAACTGGATGTAACATTTGAAGACTGAAATATTGGGGCATGTCAAGTAACGTGTAAGAGACGCATCACTCCCCCTTCCGGTCACCCCCACCAACTTTTAATCATTTTCGATTATTTTTTTTATATAACGTATGGAAACGGTTCGTTTCGGTAACAAAATGTCGAAACTAGTCCTGCCCAAGTCGGTCTCTTTAATTTTACTCATCTTGATTTATTATAACCGATGTAATAATTCAAGATCAGATAAAAAGAACAACGACTCGGGAAAGGCTACAGGTAGTCGAAACCTCGAGGTTACGATTTTTTTCCTTATTTCACGCGTTGTAGGTACTCCAGTGACATTTTTATCACAAACGTGTGTCAATATCATATATTTAAGAGAATGAACATGTTTGCGAACAAAAACAGTACAACATAATCGTCGATTTAATATCTCACTGTTGTTACTGTACGTTTTCTTGTTAATGAAGTTAGACATATGATTGATAAACATTTGCGATAAAAATGCAGTGGGAACTTTGCCAACAACGTGTAAAATGAGGAAAGAAAACCCGTACCTTCGAGATTTCGACATTTTGTTATCGAAACGAACCGTTTCGGTAACCGCAGTGTAATCGAGTGGATCACCAGTGATATCAGATGCGGTGTTTTTTCTTGTCCCAAGGCTGGAACCCAACTCAAGTAAATGTAGATGCCAATGGAGAGAGGTCTAGCACCGCAACTGCCTTCTTAGAGCCAAATATGAACAGAAAAAATCTACATGTAGGGACAAAAGCTCACGTCACAAAAGTCAGTATCTATTTGTTGAAACCAGTGCATATGAGGCACAGACTATATTTAAGATTTTTTGCTAGGAGTCCGGGAGTCACATGGTGTAATTAATTTGCGTAACATTATGGCGACAAAATACCAAAACAAAACAATGGGCAGTATATGGCGCAAAAGTCAACCTAAAAATAAAATGCTTTATCCTTATTCAATCCTTGTAAAATTCACAGAGCAACAAGATCATGAGGACAACTTATTTCTAAAATGTTTTGGATTTTTGAAAAACGGTCAGAAAATCCACTCGGGGCGTTAGTAAAAATTGATATCTATGGAAAAAATTGATATTGTTTTTAATTGCAACTGTGATAACAGGTTCTCCTAGAAGGCAAGAAGGCAGTGGGTGTGACTTACGTGAGGGACCTGGTCAAGAAAAGTGTGAAAGCAAGAAAAGAAGTTATAATATCTGGAGGTGCCATTGGATCACCTCACATTCTCTTACTGTCTGGAATAGGACCTAAGAAACACCTTGAAGAGCTAGGAGTGAGCTTTGAGCACCATTCAGAGTTCAAAGAAAATTAAATTTTCAAAGTTTATAAACACTTTTTGAACCACATTTTTAGAAGTAATTTTACTTTTAGATTTCAAATACTACATCACTTTGACTGGATTTTGAATTTTAATGACGTAAATCAAGATTATATCTTCTGGCATCTAGTAAGTCTATTCTATATCGTTAGATATCTTTGATAACGTCTTGCCATTTTGGAGATGTAGTTGTTTTTGTATGATGGTTGAATGAGGAGATATTTCTTTCTTAGGTACCCGTAGTGGCAGACCTACCAGTTGGGGAAAACATGGAGGATCATCCTACAGCAGACTTGCTGACATTCTTTACCAAAGTTGATGCCATTACAGAAAACCAAGCGTTATCTTTACTTGAAACCTTAAAGTATAAACTCTTTGGAACAGGTTGGGTTTTCAAATAATAACTAATAACCGTGTATATTAACCAGTTATTTATGGACATTCTTTTCGGAAGAACGATCTTCGAACTAGAAATAAAAAAGAACCATTTCATGTTTGTCTTTCACAGGTGTATGGAAGAATCCAATAGCAGACATGATGTACTTCATGAGATCTCCTTACCAGCCAGATGATCACAAATTCCCATACATCCAGTTTCATGTCTTTGGAGCATTATGGGGAGGTGGCAAAGGAACGGATTATGTAAAAGACAATATGGGATATACTGATGAGGTATGTGAATTTTAAAATGTAGTTTGCAACATATCTCGCGCCTCAAATGGATGGAGACGAAGCTTTCGTATCAATTTATTTCAAGGTGCTTTACATGTGGATAAACTTTCAGTTATGTTTTAATGAAATGCAATATTTTAATGCACCTCCAGGTATGGAATGCAATATTTCACTTAGTTATGTAATAAATTTTTTCAATGTACTTTCAGTAATGGAATGCACAGTGCTTTCTCTAACACCCCAGTAACATTTGTCATACGGAGCCCGTGCGTCGACCGCAGATCAATTAAATCAGTGTATTTCTGCGGCGAGCGTAGGAAAACTACGCTCGCCTTGCGGCCTCCGTACGGCGTATCCAGTTTCTTACAGGCTGCAGGGTCGCCGTAGAAATTATAACTCGGAGTTATAATATTTGTTCATTTCTGAGGTCCCCGTAGAAATCAACTGGCTCAACAAGATTGAATCAATATTTGTCAATGTTTCACGATCACTTTTCATTTGATATTACATCCTAGTACTATGAATAACATTTATAAATTGTCCTGATGTAAATAAAATGAAAAAAGTATTATTTATCAACAAAAATTTAAAATTCACCGTGCGGCTGCCGTGGGAAATGTGACTGCAAAAGTATGAGAGCGCAGAAATTCTGCGGCGAGCGTAGAAAAGCTACTGGCCGCAGAAATGATAGACCGCAAGGCCGCCGTAGGAAATGTGACTTGGGTGTTATGGAATGATATCAGTTAAACACTTTCGTTCATGGAATGCAATTCAATGCACTTTCAGTCATGAAATACACGATTTCAATCTACTTTCAGCTATGGAATGCAGTATTACAGTACAATATTAGTTTCACTTAAAGAATAATACTGTATCAGTTATCATCAATATCAGTTAAACACTCGTTCATTGAATGCAATATTCATATGCGCTTTCAGTCATGAAATACTGTACGTACTATTTCAATGTACTTTCAGTTATGGAATACATTATTTCTATGTATTTTTTACATTAATTATATTATAAATTATTTCAATGCACTTTCAGGTGTGGAATGCATTATACCCAGATGAGCAAATGGACGGAAAAACTGGAACCGGTGTCCTTGTCACATTGCTCCATTCAGCTACCAATGGTACAATTAGGCTTCAGAGCACGGACCCATTTGATCATCCATTGATTGAGCCCAACTACCTCAAAAATTCAGTTGATGTGAAACATTTGATGACAGGTCAATAATTACTCATATGATAAATTTATACTTTCTGAAATTGTATCGTGATTTATGTAGGAATAAAGGTATGGACAGAAAAACTTGCAAAAACAAAATGTATATGATGCATAATTCTAAAACCAAGACCAGCTTTGCTTTACTTTCTGAATAGTATCATGTTTTATGTAGGAATAAAGTTATGGACAGAAAAACTTGCAAAAACAGATGCATTCAAAAGGGGAGGCTTTGAACTCAATAGAAATCACCATCCGTTATGTAAGACTCATCGATTTGGCACCGATGCTTACTGGGATTGTTTCATAAGAGCAAACTTGTGGACTACATACCATCCAACGTCAACATGCAGAATGGGACCAGAAACTGATAAGAACTCAGTCGTAGACCCACAGTTAAGGTGCCTATAACCCTAATCTATTAAAAGATATGAAGACCTTCGCAACACTGTCTGCTACTTCAATATTGATAAAGTCCCACACAGACATTGTCTTAAGAAAAATGTGGACCTTATGTATCCAATTTGATTGATACATAAAATCCAAGAATTAAATCTAAAGCTTTAAGGTTGTCCATTTTTTGATTGTCCATGGCACGATGACGAACAACAACGTTACGTAACAATTTTAACCCTTAAATGTTTTTTTGCTTTTTTACACCCTCTAAAGAAACCCCAAAATATATTTGGCAATTACTTTGCAACCAGAGAAGCTTTTTTTCATTCTGACTTCAGTTTTACATAGGTTAATCTATATTCTATTACCTTTCAGAATATGTTTGCATTATCTATCATGAATGCATGGATATATGTGTAAACCTAATCATAAGCATATATAAGATAAGGGGTCAGGTGTTTTAGCATTTTGTAGCATTTCGTAGCATTTACATTTAGCACTGTATTAGACTAACTGAATATGTTTCAGTGATAGTGATGTTCTTTGGCCTCAGGTAGCACAAAAAGTCATAATGCGATTTATATCTGGTTTGTTTTTTCTGCAAGGAATTGAATTTATTAAGGATTAGATGGAATTCCATGTTGATAGACTGATTATTTCTGATATAATCATTGAAAAGAATGAGCTCTGGGATCCAAACGGACCCCAAAAACCATTTAAGGGTTAATGTTACATTATAATCATTCATAGAGTTTGGTTTTCATACTTGGAAAATACAGTTGTTTGCTCACACGTAAATATTAAGAAATTATTTTTTGGGGTCTGTATTTGAACAGTGTAATCAATGTTAAACCCCAGTCACATTTGTCGTACGGAGGCCGTGCGTCGACCGCAGATCAATTAAATCAGTGTTTTTCTGCGGTGAGCGTAGGAAAACTACGCTCGCCTTGCGGCCTCCGTACGGCGTATCCAGTTTTTTACAGGCCGCAGGGTCGCCGTAGAAATTATAACTCAGAGTTATAATATTTGTTCATTTCTGAGGTCCCCGTAGAAATCAACTGGTTCAACAAGATTGAATCATTATTTGTCAATGTTTCACGATCACTTTTCATTTGATATTCCATCCTAGCACTATGAATAACATTTACAAATTGTTCCGATGTAAATAAAATGAAAATAGTATTATTTATCAACAGAAATTTAAAATTCACCGTGCGGCTGCCGTGGGAAATGTAACTGCAAAAGTATGAGAGGGCAGAAATTCCACGGCGAGCGTAGAAATGTTACTGGCCGCAGAAATGATAGACCGCAAGGTCGCCGTAGGAAATGTGACTGAGGTGTTAATTACTCTTAATTAATCTTTGCTCGAGATCTTTCAAAGTACTGTTATATATTTTGCAGAGTGAAAGGGATTGAGAATCTGAGAGTTGCAGATGCATCCATTATGCCTCATGTCGTATCAGGCAACACCAATGCGCCATCTATTATGATTGGAGAGAAGGCTGCAGATTTGATTAGACAGTCTTAAAGATTATTTTTCATATTTGTAATAATAATGAAGGGGTTTACAATTTAAATATACATGGAAGCATAATTGACTGCAAACTCCATGCTTCAAGCAGAAATGTACCATTCTTTATGACAGGAGAGAAGGCTACAGATTTGATCAGACTCTACATTAGGCCTATTAACATTTTTGAAAGCTTTCGTACGATCCATAAATGTGGACGCATAATTAATTTTAAACATCATGCTTCAATCACAAATCAATACACTAACTGACTAAGAGCGTTGTCCCAGAAGTAATGCACTATATGTTCTAACTTTATCAATAATGGATAGTTTTCATGAAATGTTCAGTAAATGTACCAAATTAGTGAGGTAGGGTGGGACAGGTTATACACGTCAAAAGGAATAAAAAAAGTTGAAAATATGAAATAATTAATCAACAAATTACATTTTGTGTAGCGATAAGAAGTATGCTCAAATATACATTTTAAGATATTAAATTACAATGAGCACATCCTAGATTTAATGGATATATTGCAGTGTCCCATTTCTCATTTTCTCAAAACATTGCCCTTAGCATGCGATGTACTTTTGATGCCGGTCAGGTCAGACACTCTTAGCAACTTTTCTTACTGTGACTTGAAGAGTTTTTGCCTCCCATGTTTGGAGTTGTCATTCAGGGTCAATTCATCGCTTTTGAATCTCTTCTGCCACCTCTTAATTGATTTAACAAAAAGTATGCAAAAACTTAAAACCAACCCCCCATAATCGATAAAAATTAAGATAAACGCTTTATTTCATTAACAAGATACTTTTTTAAAATCAACCAAACTTTCCGAACATATGATACCAAGAACGAAAGAAGTGTCTGATATGTTTTCTAAAACGATATAAAGAAGAGAATATATTTATAAAATTCAAAATATAATGTTACCATCCAAAAGATGACCATTAAATTGACGATGTGTAAAATTTTCAGTATGTTTTGATGACTGGTCTAAGAGAAACAAGTGTTCAAAAAGTTCACCATATTGATACCACTCCTTTCCTTACTCAAAACTATACAACAAAACAAAATATTTCCTGCTTATGACAGTACATCACGGCATTGTATTTCTGTTGTACTAGGTTCAGTATTTACAATTTACAACTACACTAAACTGCTCTTCCATCTGGTGCACCTGAACATACAATGTCCGATTGTTATTTACATATAGAGATATACTGCACTTTGTATTAATATTTTACATGTAGACTATTATGACTAAGTCTAATTATAGTGGATAAAGTGAACTAAATATTTTGAAGTTATGCTTGCATTAATAATGAACTCATTTATTAAAAAAATGAATAAATATAATTTTGTTAAGATGAATTCTCAGTGTTCATTATTTGCAATTTTTGAAATAACAATATCTAAATTGTTAAAAATGATAGAGCGTTATCCTTATGTAATGTTGTAACAAGAAAAACAGCAACTCCACGGAGTAGCAAATCCCACCGAACAAAACATATTATGCTTATTATAGCTAGTGTAAATGTTGAAATGGTTGTGCACTTTGTGATAGAAGCATGAAATTTGGTTCAAAGTTGATTTATACCATTGTGAACTAGGCATCTTCATATAAAATTTGAATTTAAGCGGCCATCTTGAAAACTTTTTGTCGAACATAGCTACTGTGTCCCTAAGCATCATCATATAAAATTTGAACCAAATCCGTTCACTGGTATTTGAGTTATCAAAGATTACATATTTTTACAAAAAATGGCCGCCATTTTGAAATTAAGTGGCCATTTTGAAAATCTCTTTTTGTGTGAAACTCCTTTGTCCCTAGGCATCAGCATATTAAATTTGAACCAAATCTGTTCACTGGTAAATGAGTTATCAAAGATTACGTTTTTTACGAAAATTGGCGGCCATCTTGAAATTCAGCCGCCATCTTGAAAATTATTTCTTGGACAGAGCTACTGTGTCCCTAGGCATAATCATATAAAATTTCAACCAAATCTGTTCACTGGTATTTGAGTTATCAAAGATTACGTTTTTTACGAAAAATTGCCGCCATTTTGAAATTAAGCGGCCATCTTGAAAAATTTTGTCGAACATAGCCACTGTGTCCCTAAGCATCATCATATAAAATTTGAACCAAATCCGTTCACTGGTATATGAGTTATCAAAGATTACATATTTTTATGAAAAATGGCCGCCGTTTTGAAATTAAGCGGCCATCTTGAAAATCTCTTTTTGTGCGAAACTCTTTTGTCCCTAGGCATCAGCATATAAAATTTGAACCAAATCCGCAAACTAGTATTTGAGTTACTAAAGATTACATTTTTTACGAAAAATGGCGGCCATTTGAATTCAGTGGCCACATTGAAAATTCCTTCTCGAGCAGAGGTCCTACACCCATAAGGCATAAGCCTATAAAATTTGAATCAAATCCGTGAAACGGTATTTGAGTTATGGCCCGGACAAACAGACGGACGGATGGACGGCTTTCCTATATCCCTCTCGAACTTCGTTCGGTGGGATAATTAGCAAACCCTAGCAAACGAAATTCGATTAATTTTAAATGTTCCAGAATGTTGTAAAGTAGAATTCTTCAAATGTTACAATTCAACATTACACGATTTTAAACGTATAAATGTAAGTCAGTAAGGAGAAGATCATGATATATCTACTGTACAACTTTGAATATTAAGATTTACATGTATCCTTTACAGTAAAACCTGTGTATATGAACATTTCTCGAAAACAATTTGTTCCTTGTACACTGTATATAAACCTCTCATGTGGATATCTTCTCTCAATATTTAATTTTACATATTTTGTGTCCATTAATAAGGCACCCACTATGACTGTGGGATATCACAAACTAAAATAAACATTTTTCTACCTGTCAATACACTTAAATATAATAGGTTATATTATGTTTGATTTGCATTGAATGTCCAACTGATCAACTTTTTCATGTGGTTATATCTAACTGGTCAAATACAATTATAAACACGGCACAGGGTGAACAATATCGTACCTAAAACATAGCAGTATGGGCTTGATAACGCAGAAAGCCGCCGCCGCCCGTCAAGCTTATGACAATATCGTACTTTTTTAGGCATGATAAAAAATTATCACTATCATAAAAATAAATTCTCAACAAATTACTAGGCTATAACACTGACTGAAATTGCTCAATAAATGTTTGAATGATGATGTATTACCAGTTCACAATATAATATAGGGTGGCTTCAAATAATTAAACCCTTTCAATGAGTGAAACGTTGGTATATTGTATTACATACTTTTTGGATTAAGAGAATCATCTTTTCCATCCTGATTTTTTAACTACACAGGAAAATTCAAGATTCTAATATACCTGAGTAATTCCAGAATTAGAAGGTTTCATTTTGGGGCCTCCCTGTACATGCATTTGTAGTCCTGTTGATTTGGCATGAGATGTCATAACTGACTGATTAGAGGTTGATTCAAATGACATGAACAAATCCAGCTTAAATTACAGGGTGAGCCAAAAAAGGTAATCCAAGCAAATAAAAATTGCTTATTTAACACCATCTGAAAGGTTCTCAAATAAAATGAGGCTTTAACATGCAAAATGTCACCACCTGCCATTTGTTATAGATGCCAAACACCAATCACCAGATGCCAATCACCAGACGCTGTCACAAAAAAGTTAAAGACCATAACAATATGTCATCATTTTTGGTGGTGACATAATAAAAAATAAAACTACCCTTTCATCTCTGATCTGTTTTTGATGTAATTGCTTTGTATTCTATAGATTTTGAGTTGAGCTTGCTGCGATTGAATATTGCTATGCCTCTATTGTTCCAGAATCAGAATTACTATAACTGTCACTTTCACTATTGTTTGACATGTGCTCATTTTCTTGTTGTAAATTGTGTATTGGTGAATCATTAACTGAAGCAGTAAGTGACTGGTTTACTCTTGCATTGTGTTCTGCCATAGCAATATCATCATCTGTGTATTCTGTGTAAATGTCACTGTCATCAGATGTTTGTCCATTTTCCTGTTGTGAGCTTTCTTTCAAACTGTTCTCACTATTTTTCATGTGTCTTAGAATATTTTCATTTACAACACTTGTGTTAATGGCATTAACCGGAGAACTATTGTCACTATATTCCAAATTATGTTTCGACTCATGTTGTATGGTTGATGCATTACTTTCTGATAAAGTAGTTCCACTGTCTAAATCACTTCTATTTCCCTTGGTTTGTGGAGTTGAACTTGAGCTAGGTACTTCTTTGTTCCAATCCTCTAACTGAAATTCATCAGAGTGATGTCTATGCTTCGTTTCATTATTTGAATGGTCTGGATATCGACCTTGTCTTAAAACAGGGGAATTGCTGTGTTCAGGTTCATAGTTTATGTCCCCAGATGAATTGTTAAATGATGCATCTGTTGATAAGTTGGAGGACATATTTCTTGGTGAATGACTAGATGTCTTGTTGTGGGTATAGCTGGAGGATATAGTGTCTTTCTCAGATGTATAGCTAGCTGAACTTGTACTTCGAGGGGATATTTCTCTTGTACAGTAAGAGGACCTTTCCCCAAGAGTATTGCTAGGGGACTTTTCTCCAGGTGTATTGCTAGGGAACCTTCCTCCAGTCGTAGATCTAGAGGACCTGCCTCCAGGAGTAGAGCTAGAATACGTGCCTCCAGGAGTAGAGCTAGAATACGTGCCTCCAGGAGTAGAGCTAGAATACGTGCCTCCAGGAGTAGAGCTGAGGGACTTTTCTTCAGGTGTATAGCTAGAGGATATTCCTTTATGTGTAGAGCTAGAGGACCTTCCTCCAGGAGTAGAGCTAAAGGAACTACCTCCTGGTGTATAGCTACAAGACATTTCTCCAGGAATAGAACTGAGGGACCTTTCCCCAGGAGTAGAGCTAGGGGACCTTCCCTCAGGTGTATAGCTAAGGGACCTTTCTCCAGGATTAGAGTTAAGGGACCTTCCTCCAGGAGTAGAGCTAGGGGACCTTTCTCCAGGTGAAAAGCTAGGGGTCCTTTCTCCAGCATTACAGCTAGGAGACCTTTCTCCAGGTGTAGAATTAGTGGATCTGGCTCCTGTATTTCTAGGAGACTTTGCCCTTGTATATCTAGGTGAGTTTGCTCCCGTATAGCTAGGGGGGCTTGTTCCAGGGGTATAGTGAGGGGACATTACTGTTTGGCTAAGGGACCTGGCTCCTGTATAGCTGGGGGACTTTGCTCTTGTATAGCTAGGGGAGCTTGTTCCAGGGGTATAGTGAGGGGACATTGCTACTGTATGGCTAAGGGACCTGGCTCCTGTATAGCTAGGGGACTTTGCTTCTGCATAGATAGGGGACTTTCCTCCCAGTGTATAGCGAGGGGACCTGGTTCCTGTATAACTGGGGGACTTTGCTGCTATATTGCCGGGGGACTTTGCTCCTGTATAGCTAGGGGACTCTCCTCCAGGTGTATAGTGATGGGACCTGGCTCCTGTATAGCGTGGGGACATATTTCCAGTTGAATCACAAGGTGACCTGGCTCCTGTATAACTCAGGAATTCATTGACTGGTGTATATCTCCGGGGATTTTTCCTGGATTCCAAAATTGTGTGATCAGTAATATCAGTTATTATTGACAGGTTATTGCTATCGGAATCTGAATCATTCAAAGTTGCAACTGATTTAACTGAATGTTCATCACTGCTGTCTTGAGTTAGGTCAAGCTCTTCTTCAACACTAGGAGTGGAATTTAGCTTCTCGGCTTGACTAAGGTCAAGTGCTTCTTCTTGAGTGACTTCTTCATCCTGTGTAAGGTCAAGTTCGATATATTTAGTCTCAACTACAGATATATCTTCTTCAGAATCATGATCACTGATAACAATCTCCTCAGTTAGAGCGACATCAGGGTTTGGAGAGGGAATCTCCAGCTGGATTGGGGAGGTGGTATCACTATGGGGGCTGGAGATACCCCTAGGCGTGAAAGACTTTGGGCGTTCATGAATGCTGTCAGGAGACTTGGAAGGAATGGGGGTTAAGTCAGTCAAAGAAGTTGTGGGGGTAGTATCAGACGGTGATGGCATAGGAGTCCTGTCTGTTGCATCAGATTGGGCTGGTATTGAGGTTGTACTCATTATGTTGAGTGTGTGGTCAGGTGAAGCCAATGGGTAGAATGGAACTATTGTATCACTGGAGTCAGCTCCTGGTGAAGAAGCAGTACTGACATTGGTTTCTTTTGTGATGTTACTAGAGACAGTTGGTGACACTGATATGGAGCTACACTGAGGGGCTCCATGGTACGATGGATCAGTCAGGTTCAAGTCAAGAGTAATTGGTGATTCACAAACTGGGTTTGGGTTTTGTGTTTCTGTTGGTGATGAAGCTACAGGTTTTAAGGATAAATTAGGGGTTGTACTAGCTTCACTCACTGATCTTTTGGAAGATTTCATTCTTTTGTGTCCACTATGGTGTTTCTTATATCGACTCTCTTCTTTCTTTTCTTCATCTCTGGTTTTTCTCCTCTTGGACTTTTTATCATTTGGATCATCTTTGTCTGGAAGACTTTTAGACCTTTTCTTTGTTCTTTGTTTATCAGTGATTTCATCTTTTTCTTTTTCTTTGCTTTTACTTTTAGATTTTCTGGTATACCTATCATCTGAAGCATTGTTTTCAGACTCATCAGATGTGTATATTTGATTATATCTTTTCTTGCTTTTCTTATGTTTCTTGTGTTTCTTTCTCTTGTGTTTTGATTTAGCATGATCAGCTTCACCAATCAGTTCAACACTCTCTTTACTGTGACGTTCTCTTCTTGATGACTTGCGTCTGAGTGTCAGTGTTATCCTAGTTGGTGACTTTTGCTTAGAGGTTCTACTGCTTTCTATTTGATACTCTGATTCTACAGCATATTCTAGAGTAGCAGCTGAACTGGATCTTGAGCGAGATCTGTTGAGACTGTGGGTAGTGGGCCCGGTGTGGGTAGAGGGCATGGTATCCACTGACATTGGCCAGTTTCTGAGTTCTTGTCCCCCACTAGTGAACAAACTGCCAAAGTTATCAGAGAAAGAAAAGGACATATTTGGGTTGGTACCTTGGGTAGATGGTGGAACACCCAAAGCAGCTGATGGGGCACCAAGGGCAGCTGATGGGTTATTCCTTGCACTCTTTCGAGTGGGTGTGGTCTTTTTCTTCTTGGTTTTCCTTGGCTTTTTATCCCCATCTTTCTTGGACTTGGAACGCTTCTTTCCCTTTGTTTTCTTTTGTTCTTCTTCACTGTCAGAGACTCTAAGAAATTCAGGTGTCCTCTCAGCAATTGGTTTCTTGCAGTCAATAATTTCAATATCACTACCAGCACTGGATATGGAATCATTGTTGTCTGACTCCTCATTATCATCCATCCAGGACCATGGCCTGCTGTTTCTAGGGGGAGAAGGGGGACTCCAGAATTCAGGTGAGCTTGAACCTTGTAGGGTTGGGGAATGCCAACCTGACCTAGTGGCCCTCTGCGTGCTATCCAGAAAACCCCTCACTTGATCTAGCAATGGCATCAGGTCAATGTCAAGTGAACTGCCAGGTGCATTTATATTTGAAGGTCTGTTAATGCTTAATCTAGCCTCTGTGTGTTGATCCTGGCTCTCATCTTCCGCTTGTTGGGGTTCAGGAGAGTCGCCAAGTACAATAACACCACCTGGGGATTGGCCATCTGTGTTCCCATTGTCTTCACTACTAGGACTACTAGAATCAACTATTTCAGGTTCAGTTGCTGTGGAGCTGTATTCAGCACATCTGTCATATTTTTCTAAATCATAGGGTGATCTTGCAAAGTTGTAAAACTCATGGACAAAATGGCTAGTTCGTCTACCAAGGTACACAGTCAATCGAGTAAGGAATTCTGAACTGTCAATAGGAAATCTTGTTATCAATCTCATAATGACATCTAGAACAAGGTGAACATTGTTGGAATCATTATGTAACAAAGCATTCAGCTCTCTGTTTAGGAAGGGCACCAATCTGTGGGTTTGGGCAGGGTTCTGGCGAAAGAACTCAGGAGTTATATCTCTATACTTGACAGTCCTGGATCTAGACCCACGACCAAGGATGCTATGTGGGTCAACTCTAAGGCCTTCATTGTAGACCTGAGAGCGGAACTCTGAGGTGGTGTTACATCGCCTAGATCGAAGTTCATGTCTGCGCTCTAATACTGATTGGTATCGTTGACGTAGGTTTTCCATCCTTTGCCCTACATTACTGTTGTTGAGTCTGTTGGTTGCTTCCATGAGCCTGTCTCTAGTGTGTGCCAATTCGAGCCTGCTTGCTGCTCTGGCTTGGATCATTCTTTCTCTAGCTGCTCTTGCTTCCCTAATTCTGATCATTGACTCACCAATTGATTCTGTGCGTGAAGCCCCAATACCATATCTTATTGTCTGTTGCTCATGCCGCTTTATTTCATATTGTTCATAATCATTGTTGGATTTTACATTGTGTATGATACTCTTGAATTGTTGTTTACATAATGGGCACACAGCCTTCACCTTTGACCACTCCTTTAGGCAGATAAAGCAGAATTCATGGAAACAACTGTCTGTGAATGATTTATTTGTGACTTCACTGAGGCATATTGAGCAAGCATTCTCAGGGCTACCAGGAGATTTAGCAGGACTGTCACTGGTGGATGGTTCAACAGCTTTTGGTGAGTTGTTATTATGTGCTGGTGCTTCAGCTCCAGTATCATTGTCTTTATCAGTGGCACCATCTTGGTCTTTGGGAGTGTCATTAGCTCCACGTGAGGATCTTGTTCTTCTGCTGACTGAGCCCCCAGTGTCATCAAGGTTGATCCTTAGTCTCCTCTTAGGCATTCTTCAACCCTGAAAATATGCAACATATATAAAGTAAGTGGTAAGATAAGAGTGCAGTCACTAAAATTTCAGAATGATGAATGAAATTGTTTGGCCCAAAACTAAAGACTTTACAGACATGATTTTAGGATGGAAAATCCAAACTGCCCACATTAAAATTTACCCAAAATGCCCCAAAAGTAAATCAATTGTAAAGCAATTGAAACATTGCCCATTTCCCTTTTACAAAATTATCTCATAAAATGACTGTTAAAAGTGAGATGGGTTTTTACTATACAGTGCATGACATCTCGAATGGTGGCCATTTTGAAAATAGGCTTGCAAGCATTTGAACCAGGAGTCATGGGGGAGGGTTTCTCAATTGATGATAAACAATAACCTAAAACAGGAAAATTTAAAACATGCCACTATTGTTGACAGACTGGTGGATGGACATACATACAGACTGAAAAGTGAGTGATTGCAATAGCTCACTATACTGTGATCTCCCCAGGATCTTTTCTCAGGTGGGTGCAAAATTCTCATTTTCACAATTCAGATAAAAATTGGTCAAAATATGCCAATCTTTCATGATTTTTCTCATTTTCAAGTGGGTGCAAATGGATTTTCAGGTGGGTGCAAACCTATTTTCAAAATCTCAGGTGGGTGCTGCGCCCACTTGCTTTAATGCTGGGGAGATCACTGCTATATGTGTACTATTGATAAATAAATAAAAAAAATAAATAAATGACACCTGCATGGACCCCTATGTAATGGATGAGCATTGGTTCTGATGAATAGCAGTTTTCATCCATCAGAAAATTGTTGATGGAGAGAAGAAATGAAGAACAGATGGAGAAATAGACAGACAAGTTACTATAGTGGATGATGGGAGCAAAAGATGACCAACTAGAAATCAGCAAAGAAATTAAACATTTTTTTATAGAAAAAATCAAAAAGGCCAAACACATCTAGATCTTATTAATACCTTTAAAGTTATGCTGAAAACATTTTTAAATATGATCATGTCACTCTATCGTGCCATTAAAAAGTTAAAAAAAGAAATAGAGTGTGATACTTTTTCAATAGCTTTTACTCTTAGCGTTATTAGACTTCAAAGAGAAGTGAAGTTTATCTGCAAATGATATACTCATTGCATGAGTAGTCATTTTTTGGTATAGCGAAACATAGGAGTTAAAAAATGTGTGAAGTTTTCGTTTTTACAAGTGTTTTATGAAAAACCGCATGCTCCCCAAGCTGGACAAATCTTTCGATGACACCCATTGTTTCAATAGCCATCACTTGATACAGGTTCCTGTGAACATTAAATGGTAAGTTTTAGAGGCTTATATTTCTCTTATTGCAAAAACATACATTTCAACATTACCAGTTGTATATATTGATCATTTTCAAATAAACGAAGCATACTTATATGTCGTATTTATTACGTACAAGGGTTTTACAAGATAAATTGAAAAAAATTGTATGTTGTTATTGACTTATTTTGTTTGACAGTTGGTTGTTCTGTTAGTTGATTTTTCGAAATATTGGTGCAACTGTGCTCATGACATGGTCTCAAAATATATCTAAGGTATGTAAGATGGTATATGGTATTATAAATAACATGGACATTACTGATTGTCTTAAATTGCTCCCAATAATCGAGTCTGAAAATTTGGGCCACCACTTACTATACAGAGGGGATCAGGATTGGGATGGATTTTCTTTTCAGGACAAGTTGATCAACTCAACTATATGGCGGAAGTGCTAAAAAATGTCTTATAAACTCATCTGTAGTGCTGATACAAATTAACTGATAAGTCGTATAGTTGGCATATTATCTTGAATTTGAACATTTAGTGTCCCAAACTCCCCCTAACTGCAGAAAAGTATACACCGTAAATCATATTTACCAAAATGAGTGTCCCTAAGGCTTCATACCAGCTTGTGCATAATGCATTTGTCACGAGTTTGAGCTGAAATTTCACACTCTTTATTATTTTGTATTAGCACTATATGAACTATGCTTGATCATCCTCTTCGTCCAACATGCAGATTCTAAAGGCAGTGACTTACTCGTGTTTCTGGCCAATTCTTGGCTAGAAGTAATTTCATCTGGAACACCGTGAACCATTTGAAAAAAGCTGGCCGTCTTGTTATGAAGCTCCATGTGCAGTATCAGGCAAGTGATTTTAGACAGTCATATCTTTTACCATAAGTATTTTCTGGGTATAAATGCAGTGGTTTTTATCAAAACAGTATGTTTTCTTTAAAAAGACGTCCCCATGATAGTAAAATATCAATCCCACTCTCTGAAAAATTATGGATTAGGACCCCACCTTGTCACTTTTTATCGTATTTAAAAATGCAAGGCTTATCTTCTAAAAAGAAGATCTTCTTTTTCTCAATTTAAATGTCTCAAAAGTTTTTTCTACAATATATTAATTACTTCTGAAAAGGGGATGGGTATTGAAATGCGATAAAGTTAAAAAACACATTTCCCATGTTATTTTCCCATAGGGAGAATACATGCTGTCCATTGTTTTCAACATGAATTTGGTCATCAAAAATGTATATCTTCAAAACTAGACTTTAGCATTCTACTTTTGAAGATGTTTTAGACCCCTTGTTGAATTATTTTCATGCAATAAAAATCAGAAAAAGAACATCCTCTTTTGAGCAAATAAGTTAAACATGAAAAAATTATTGACATGGGGTCCCTATTTATAATTTTTCGAATTGTTCGATTGAAATTTTTATCATCATGGGGACTTCATTTGAAAGAAAACATATTGTCTTAATAAAAACCACTGTATTCATGCCCAGAAAGTACTCATGGTGAAAGATATGAGTGTCTAAAATCACTTGGCATACAGATACTGCAAATGGACCTTTATTAAATATTTTTAAATAAATCAAGCATTAAAATGGAACTGGCTGGGCTCCTTGATGAGATATTGCATGATTTCATCAGAAATTAAAATATATGGCGATATTCGAAAACTGGACGAAATGTCATTATTGTCTGATATTAGTAACTGGCTGTAAATTCTAAATTAGCGTTCCAGAAGATATGAACTACAGTAAAATTTTAAATGTTTGGAACTACTTTGAATTTAAATCAAATGACTATATTGCAACAGAATATAAGAAAATAGAAACATATGTACAAGTCCTATCTTTTGTATATTTCAGATAGTTATGTGTAATGTGCAGCAAAGCTGTGGCGTTTTGTTATTTAGGGAGCTTCAGCCATGCTAGTTTTTCCGAAAATAACATGCCAGAGAAGCATCAAAATATAAGAGGCCACAGGCCTCGTTGGTACGAATAATTTCGAACGGAATGCGTGACATATACGTAATTCGCGTGATAGGTACGAACGAAATGCATACGTTTTTTTTCGGCGTTCGTATTTTTGCTGTGTAGACGAACTTTTTTATAAATTTTTCTACAGATATACTTTTGCTTGACAATTACCAGGTAAAATGCGTATTTGCAAGACATTTTCTGTCACGCAAAACTAACTGGCGTGACTTCAAATTCTTCAGCAAATGCGTGACAAATACGCAAATTGCGGGACAGTTGACAGGCCTGCAATATGGTCCTTTGAGTGCTTATTTTTTAAATTCATGTGTGTTTTGGAATTTTTGGTGAGGCAATATCTAATAAGACCAAAACCCGCAATTCAAATTGTGATGTGGATAAATGGCGAACATTTGATTTAAAATTTGATGATTACGACATGACCCGTATACAGTATAAATACATGCAGGGATTTATCTTTGGACGAAGGCCATGATATACTAGTTCAAGGTCGTTAAACTCAATAACAGCATTCTTTACTATTAGGAATTTTCTTGGGGCCATTATTGAGTTTAACCTCTTTACTATTCTTTCCTTTGATGCAAGTTCTGGATCCATCGAAACCATTTTGCCGCGATAACATGCAAATGATACTTGACAATAATATAAGAACACATAACATCAAGCGATTTAACACAATATTTATTGTGTTAAATGTTCACTTATACATGTACTAGTAAAATGAGGCTACACTTACCAATCTCTAAAATGACATTTCCGCATGTCCGTCATTGTGTCTGTTCGTCCGAGTGTCCCGGATCGTAAAATTAAACTACTAGCGAAACGAAATTGTTGTCAAATAGATTGATAATTATTATCGCGATTACTCGGCATAAAAAGATAAATTTTGAGAATAACAGGTATCTTTGATTGATTTATGTAGCGCGTGTATACTAGAGGTGTAACTCGCCAGAAAAATCCAACTCGAGTTCAACTTGCCAAATATTTCCAAAACTCGAGTAAAACTCGAGTTAATTCATTTCGTCCGGTACATATTGTAAACCCGGGTATACAAAATTACTGTCACTTCTAGCGGCAAGTTTCTCTGGTTTAGTCACATCTAAAAGATGTTTAACACGTTGGGGCCATAAGAAAGTGTGGTATTCAGTGCAGTTTATCTCATATTTCAATCAAAAACGATCTGGTATAGACGTCGCCGAATACGTAAGTAGATCGCTTGAATCTAACCAAACAATATTTTAGAAAACCCAGAAGGGCCCCTCAAATTAATGAATGGTTTTCCCGGATTATCTTCATTATTTATATTAAAGACTGCTGGTTATCGATCTAAAGTTAAGACTTATGATCTTAATTTAATGATAGATCATCTTTTTTGTAAAAGTCGTGTAAACGACGCGAGAATAAGGGGACCATTTTTATTCAATTTTAGTGACTACTCCATTATCACCCGCTTGAGTTCCTTCCATAGTCAATCTTTTTCTGATTTTCTGGTGTAAATTGTCATTCGTCATTCCACGATATTTGTTGAACTTTGTGAAGCTTTGAGAGTGTTTTTTAGGTGTCGGGCGCTAAATATGGCGACCATTGGTATATTAATTCCCCTAATGAAGTAATGTTGCACGATCTCCGGGACCCGAATTCATTTTACATGCTTGAAAGAGTTGACTCGAGTTATAGCTAGCTCGCGAGTTGAAATAGATTGCGAGTTTCTAGAAGACAACTCGAGGCAATGTATAGGCAGCTCTGACGAGCTGTACTCGAGTTACGGATTCAGGAGAAATAGTTCTTAATTGCAAACCTACTGTTTGTAAATGCTGTGCCGCGATGACAATTAATTTCTGATACGATTTGCAATTTCGATGTTACCGAAACTGACCAACATTTTTGTTATATTCCAAACCTGTCTCCAATATTTTTGTAATTAGGCATCAATAGGGTCTAAGGGGGATACGGGATGGTGTGTATGTATTCATAAGGAATGTATGCATGCTTGAATCACATTCTTTGTGTAATCTTACCATGGTTTCAGGGTTTAATATACCAATACGCGATAACGTTTAATATTGTTCAGTTTAGCTAACTCTCGTTTGAAGAGCTCTCATGTATGGTACAACTTCATCTTCATCCGGGTTCTTTCCCATTGGATTACACAGGGGTGCTATTTTCAATGCCGCACTGCGGCTCTATTAAACATTTATGTAGAGTTTCATTTGCACAAACGATAGGTATGTATGTAATTAAGATATATGACAAAGCTTTTTGAGCTATAATCCCCAAATCCGAAGAAATCTGTAGTTGAAAATACCGTCCAATTCCAGTGACGTCACTGATATCCCAGAAATTGCTCAGACGCCATCGAAGATCGAAAAATATAAATAATGTTACTTTGAATCTCCGATTATCTTTCTGATTACTGAATAGATTGGATTATATAACTATGCTTGAGGGCTGATGGAAGATCAGAAGCTGAGAAACGTTCAGAGTAATCGACTCGTTCGGCGGGCCAATGAAAATTTGTCCCTTCCAAAGCGATGCATCATGGGAGATATTTATGTAAATTACCACCTGAACTCTTATCACGAATAGGAGTATTAGTTCCGCTTGTCGGAACCTGCGGAACGATTAAATTAACGCATCAAGGGCAAAATGATCATGGAGGTTAGACCTAACCGGGGCCATAAGACATGTCAGATAAGAAACGAGGCCCAGGCTAGGTCTAATGCTGTTGGACTAACGATAACGATATACCTAATTTATGATTATACGGTCACACACCGTATTTGATGAGTATTTGATGAGACTATTTGGAGTTTTTACTTCCATCAGTACTATTGGGGAATGCTTTAAGGTCAACATCCCATCATCCGATCACAGGGCTTCAAAATCCAGAATATATTCTTTCTTTTTACATGTCCGATTAGAATCTAATTTTGTAGATGAGAAAATCCATGGGCGATAATAGAGGAATTTTTATATTTTTACTAGTTTTATAGCAGGTACATGGAGTATGTGAAAACAAAAAATATAACAATTCATTAATAAAGCATAATCAGGTATTCTATATCGATATACTTACTTTACCACGTGTACATCTGAGGAAATTGGGAATATTAGTTCTTCCAGTTCTGTTTTAATTTCTGACATTCACTTTGCGTATGAATACAATTAATACTGGAACTATTTTCTAGAAGGCTCGATTTAGATTGAGTCAATGTTTGATTATCGAGCTTTAAACCAAGCAATCTTGTAATAGATCTACATCATTTGATTGCATTCGACAAATTGAAACAGTACTGATATGAACCTTAAAATATATTAAAATATTTAGGAATTATATTCTTTGTAAAATTTCGTGAATATTCGGACGTCTCCTCTTTTGCAAAGGCCAAAATGCCCTAATACGTCACTTCCGCTGAATAGAAAAAAGTAGTATTCAAAAATAAATGTAGGCCCAACACAAATGTGATCATGACGAGTCAGTAAGCTAGTATGTAGGCACAGTTGTAATCTTTTTGCAATGGCAACATGCCATTTCTTCTGAAAATGCGTTTATTTGGGTTATCTGAAGGAAAATTTCGAGTCAAGTGGCGTATTAATTTTGCCTTCATTTTTGTGAATTTCAATTTGTGTCTGCAGAGAGAGGGGGTAGTGTCACAATTGACCAATTATTTCAAAAAGTAGATGATTGGCCCCTATCGAGTTTAGTGTCAAGATGTAGCTTAGACATAGCTTTAGAACCTCAGATAGGCCAGTGAGGCCACATAAATCCATAACTCGAGATAAAAAGTCAGGCGTTTGCCCTTTTGCCCATTGACTAGTATGGTGACGTGAATTAGGGCAGTTTTGCCTATTAGTCACATGTGAAAGTGACCAAAATTTTTTAAAACTACTCAGAATCAACCAGAATTGAAGTTTATTAGTGTGAAACATATTTTGGACGGAGGCAAAAAGGGGAATTTTCATGAACAAATTTAATGTTTTTGCTGAATCATCAGTTTTCGCTTTTTACCCCAAAAACCCTTGATTTTGACGATATTTGGCTACAATTTTGTCCTTAGTGACCCCTAAATGTCATTTGTTGTCGTAAATGGGGAAGCCAACGAGTTGCTATTCATCATAAAGATTGAATTTCCCATCTTATGGTTTCCAGTATAGAAAGAAGGTACATATCGGGGGTGCAGTCAGAAATTGGTGAGTTAAGTGTCAATTTTTGATGTATTTGTTCACTCTGAATGACTACATTCGAGCTAAAAATATCTCAAAAGTCCCAATTCTCTAGGCCAGAGTCAAAACTGATCAAATTTGTCATCATTTTTCAAATCAGGAGGTTGTTGAATGGAATAAAGTATGAAAAAGTGATGATTTTAGTAAGATTTTGCCAAAAAGTGGGTCAAATTTGTCCAATTTTCTGGTTCACGGTTCAGTGATTTGGCTAAAAATTGCAATATGCAATAAAATACTCAAATTCTTGACACGATACTGAAAAATGTCACCATCAGGCAGTGGATTTCATGATGTAAATGAAAAACTAGTCAAATTTAAAGGAAAACCATTGGGTTCTTGGAAAAATGACCCCAGGGGTAATGAAGTAGCCATATTTTTCATAATTGCTGTCAGAATATTCTTAAACTGCACAAAACTACTTGAAAAACTCTAGTAAATTGGAAAAACGCAATTTAAAGCCAGAAATCATCCAACCATGTGGCTATTAGGCCAAAATGCCCTAATACGTCACTTCCGCTGAATAGAAAAAAGTAGTATTCAAAAATAAATGTAGGCCCAACACAAATGTGATCATGACGAGTCAGTAAGCTAGTATGTAGGCACAGTTGTAATCTTTTTGCAATGGCAACATGCCATTTCTTCTGAAAATGCGTTTATTTGGGTTATCTGAAGGAAAATTTCGAGTCAAGTGGCGTATTAATTTTGCCTTCATTTTTGTGAATTTCAATTTGTGTCTGCAGAGAGAGGGGGTAGTGTCACAATTGACCAATTATTTCAAAAAGTAGATGATTGGCCCCTATCGAGTTTAGTGTCAAGATGTAGCTTAGACATAGCTTTAGAACCTCAGATAGGCCAGTGAGGCCACATAAATCCATAACTCGAGATAAAAAGTCAGGCGTTTGCCCTTTTGCCCATTGACTAGTATGGTGACGTGAATTAGGGCAGTTTTGCCTATTAGTCACATGTGAAAGTGACCAAAATTTTTTAAAACTACTCAGAATCAACCAGAATTGAAGTTTATTAGTGTGAAACATATTTTGGACGGAGGCAAAAAGGGGAATTTTCATGAACAAATTTAATGTTTTTGCTGAATCATCAGTTTTCGCTTTTTACCCCAAAAACCCTTGATTTTGACGATATTTGGCTACAATTTTGTCCTTAGTGACCCCTAAATGTCATTTGTTGTCGTAAATGGGGAAGCCAACGAGTTGCTATTCATCATAAAGATTGAATTTCCCATCTTATGGTTTCCAGTATAGAAAGAAGGTACATATCGGGGGTGCAGTCAGAAATTGGTGAGTTAAGTGTCAATTTTTGATGTATTTGTTCACTCTGAATGACTACATTCGAGCTAAAAATATCTCAAAAGTCCCAATTCTCTAGGCCAGAGTCAAAACTGATCAAATTTGTCATCATTTTTCAAATCAGGAGGTTGTTGAATGGAATAAAGTATGAAAAAGTGATGATTTTAGTAAGATTTTGCCAAAAAGTGGGTCAAATTTGTCCAATTTTCTGGTTCACGGTTCAGTGATTTGGCTAAAAATTGCAATATGCAATAAAATACTCAAATTCTTGACACGATACTGAAAAATGTCACCATCAGGCAGTGGATTTCATGATGTAAATGAAAAACTAGTCAAATTTAAAGGAAAACCATTGGGTTCTTGGAAAAATGACCCCAGGGGTAATGAAGTAGCCATATTTTTCATAATTGCTGTCAGAATATTCTTAAACTGCACAAAACTACTTGAAAAACTCTAGTAAATTGGAAAAACGCAATTTAAAGCCAGAAATCATCCAACCATGTGGCTATTAGGCCAAAATGCCCTAATACGTCACTTCCGCTGAATAGAAAAAAGTAGTATTCAAAAATAAATGTAGGCCCAACACAAATGTGATCATGACGAGTCAGTAAGCTAGTATGTAGGCACAGTTGTAATCTTTTTGCAATGGCAACATGCCATTTCTTCTGAAAATGCGTTTATTTGGGTTATCTGAAGGAAAATTTCGAGTCAAGTGGCGTATTAATTTTGCCTTCATTTTTGTGAATTTCAATTTGTGTCTGCAGAGAGAGGGGGTAGTGTCACAATTGACCAATTATTTCAAAAAGTAGATGATTGGCCCCTATCGAGTTTAGTGTCAAGATGTAGCTTAGACATAGCTTTAGAACCTCAGATAGGCCAGTGAGGCCACATAAATCCATAACTCGAGATAAAAAGTCAGGCGTTTGCCCTTTTGCCCATTGACTAGTATGGTGACGTGAATTAGGGCAGTTTTGCCTATTAGTCACATGTGAAAGTGACCAAAATTTTTTAAAACTACTCAGAATCAACCAGAATTGAAGTTTATTAGTGTGAAACATATTTTGGACGGAGGCAAAAAGGGGAATTTTCATGAACAAATTTAATGTTTTTGCTGAATCATCAGTTTTCGCTTTTTACCCCAAAAACCCTTGATTTTGACGATATTTGGCTACAATTTTGTCCTTAGTGACCCCTAAATGTCATTTGTTGTCGTAAATGGGGAAGCCAACGAGTTGCTATTCATCATAAAGATTGAATTTCCCATCTTATGGTTTCCAGTATAGAAAGAAGGTACATATCGGGGGTGCAGTCAGAAATTGGTGAGTTAAGTGTCAATTTTTGATGTATTTGTTCACTCTGAATGACTACATTCGAGCTAAAAATATCTCAAAAGTCCCAATTCTCTAGGCCAGAGTCAAAACTGATCAAATTTGTCATCATTTTTCAAATCAGGAGGTTGTTGAATGGAATAAAGTATGAAAAAGTGATGATTTTAGTAAGATTTTGCCAAAAAGTGGGTCAAATTTGTCCAATTTTCTGGTTCACGGTTCAGTGATTTGGCTAAAAATTGCAATATGCAATAAAATACTCAAATTCTTGACACGATACTGAAAAATGTCACCATCAGGCAGTGGATTTCATGATGTAAATGAAAAACTAGTCAAATTTAAAGGAAAACCATTGGGTTCTTGGAAAAATGACCCCAGGGGTAATGAAGTAGCCATATTTTTCATAATTGCTGTCAGAATATTCTTAAACTGCACAAAACTACTTGAAAAACTCTAGTAAATTGGAAAAACGCAATTTAAAGCCAGAAATCATCCAACCATGTGGCTATTAGGCCAAAATGCCCTAATACGTCACTTCCGCTGAATAGAAAAAAGTAGTATTCAAAAATAAATGTAGGCCCAACACAAATGTGATCATGACGAGTCAGTAAGCTAGTATGTAGGCACAGTTGTAATCTTTTTGCAATGGCAACATGCCATTTCTTCTGAAAATGCGTTTATTTGGGTTATCTGAAGGAAAATTTCGAGTCAAGTGGCGTATTAATTTTGCCTTCATTTTTGTGAATTTCAATTTGTGTCTGCAGAGAGAGGGGGTAGTGTCACAATTGACCAATTATTTCAAAAAGTAGATGATTGGCCCCTATCGAGTTTAGTGTCAAGATGTAGCTTAGACATAGCTTTAGAACCTCAGATAGGCCAGTGAGGCCACATAAATCCATAACTCGAGATAAAAAGTCAGGCGTTTGCCCTTTTGCCCATTGACTAGTATGGTGACGTGAATTAGGGCAGTTTTGCCTATTAGTCACATGTGAAAGTGACCAAAATTTTTTAAAACTACTCAGAATCAACCAGAATTGAAGTTTATTAGTGTGAAACATATTTTGGACGGAGGCAAAAAGGGGAATTTTCATGAACAAATTTAATGTTTTTGCTGAATCATCAGTTTTCGCTTTTTACCCCAAAAACCCTTGATTTTGACGATATTTGGCTACAATTTTGTCCTTAGTGACCCCTAAATGTCATTTGTTGTCGTAAATGGGGAAGCCAACGAGTTGCTATTCATCATAAAGATTGAATTTCCCATCTTATGGTTTCCAGTATA